CCCTACCAAAGCCAGCAGCTTTCCCTTCTCCACCCTCTAGACCCATATGACCTCCTGCCCTACAGGGAAGATCAGCAGGCCATAGCAAACTGTGTGTGGTATTGCTGTGTTGCTTTATCTCACACTGAAGGAAAGCTAAGAGCAGTTACACTGGTCACTCCTGTGGCCAGGAGGTGAATAATAGTTTGTAAACTATTGTAATTGGCTTGCTTATCTGAGCTCTTTGCCTGATAACTTTTCCCTTATTCAGAAGTCCTGAAAAATGGGATCATCAAGGACCTCTCTTCCCCTTGTATGTACTTTAGTCTCATTAATTCTTCAAAGATACCAGGATGTGTTAAGTCAATTAAACACTCTCCTCACTCTCTGCTGTTTTAAAGGGAGAGCTAGTTTGTTGGGGTTTTTTTAAGTGCTTTCTAAGCAATCTTTAATGAAAGATCCAGGATTGTAAAGATTCACAAAACAATTCTTGGTCTTTAGCCAAGCTGTGACTGTCCCTTACAGAATGTATTTTTTATCTGATGGGAAGTTGTTGCTGGAACCCTGTATCTCCTATTAACTAACTGATGTTACATTTCTCTGCCTTTGAAATATGTCTTGCCTTTCTATAGCAAACTAAGTCCAAGCCCTGTGTTTCCATTTATTGCATTTCAGCTAATCACTAATGCAGCCAGAGCTCACTGCAGCAGCTTTGGAACGCTGTAACTTTGGGGACTCTTTGCTCTTTGGAGATGTCTTTGGGATGATGATGGCATTGTCCCTCAGGAGGAATGACTGTCCGGGCTCACTGCCCTGGGAGCTCTATTACTGATCGCCTCTGACCTCGCAAATTGCGCGGCACCGTGTAGTGAGGCTACAAACTGCTTCAGGAAAGCATTGAGTCCATCCGTGAGCACATGTACACTATAGCAGTGTCACTCCTAACAGATTCCTTGTGTATCTTCCCAGAGATGGAGGAACCAGACCTCTCTGGCAATCTGCCAGCATTCACTGTCCACACTGCAAGGAAAGCTTCAGTGATGACTAAACTGAATCTTTCTTAGAGCAATTTAAATTATTTCCTGATCTCTGCATGATGGACTAGGCCACTTCTTTCTCATTTTCAAAGGCCTTTTAAATCTGAAGACTTTTTTAATCACACCTCTGCTAACGTTTTCCTTTTCCTTAGCTCAACAACTTTGATTATTTATGTTGTGTTTTCTGACTACTCTTGTTGCTTTCCTCTAAATTCTGTCCATCTGGTTTAGATGCTTTTGGAGTAAAATGGGCAAATGAGACACAGTGCTTTATATTAGGTCTTACCTAAGCTGACTAAAGCAGAACACCATTCTGTATCTAATATATTACTACATTCCAGTAGCACAGTATTTGCTGCTTTCACACAAGTATGGCATTGGTTATTCAGTTGTGTTTAATATTTAAATATTTAAAACATTATAAACCTATTTTCGTTTTCTGTGGTACTGCACTAAGATGATTGTTCCCTACCCTGTCTTTATTTAGCTGACTGCAGCTGCTTCAGAAATGTAGTCATCACTGTGTGTTGCATAAAAGCATCATTTTTAGACCAATGTTACAACTGTTTCATATTGTAAACTTATTCTGCAATATATGTGCAATGCCTCCTATCCTGAAGTTTCCTGCAGAATCAATAAAGGTGTATTCATCCCATGTTAATATTTAATATTATCAGATGTGATATATTCTTGAATGCTGCTTTGAATAGACTTCTGGTATGACTGCCAGTTTGACTTTGCTTCACTGGTAATTGCTTTCAAAACGCACTTTTCCAACTGACTTTGCACCTATTTGGTAAGAATTTAATCTGACTGCTGCAGAAGAGAATATCTGATAAGAAAGTGCTAAAGCCTTATTAAAGGGTTGAAAATCTACTGTTTCTTGTCTAATCTATCAATGTTTCTACTTGATCATGAAAAGAAATTAGATCAGTGTGGCATGATCTGCGCTTGGTTAATATACGTCACATACGTCATCTCCCTGGTCTTTTCCAAGTGTTTACAAACTGACTTTTTCTAGGAAGACTTTAAGCTGACATCTAAATGTTTTCAGCTTCTCCTTTTCCATATTTCTGTCTTCAGCTGCCTTCCTTAGACCCCAATAGTGGCTGCTGATGATTCCAAGATGGATGCAGCCCTCTAAGTTTCTTCGTGCTCTTCAAGTTTCCTGCATCAAATTCTACAAAGCCAATCTGGAGTGGCTGCTGATGGTTCCGATATGGATGCGGCCCTCTTTTAAGTTTCTTCGTGCTCTTCAAGTTTCCTGCATCAAATTCTACAAAGCCAATCTGAAAACAGCTAATTTATGTTTTTTGGGTTTTTTTCAAGGTTGAGATTTTGCTCCTGTTGCTCTACTACTTGGGATATTAACCATCTCTCTGCCATTGATCTTTCTAATGGACATTGATTAAAAATAAATCAAAAGTTTCTGGCCTTCCTGAACCACCTGTAAACAGATTTTCCTCTGTTAAACAGTAGCTCAACACTATTTGTTTTCTTTGTTTTACTACTTATGTACTTGTGGAATGTTTTTATATCTCTTGATATTTCTTGGCAGGTCTGTTTCATTTTATACCTTTGCTTTTCTAATTCTGTCTTTTGTTATTCAATTTATACTTCCTTTAGACTCCCTACTTTCTCCTTTCTGTGTATTTCCTTCTTGTGTGTCAGTGAAGAGCTCTTTCTTTAGCTAAGTCTTTACTTCACCTTCTAGTCAAGTTCGAGTATATATTGTATGTATCATTAATGTTGTTTCTTTAAGTAACTGCCAGCTCCCATTAACTCCTTTTGCCTCACACTTGTTCCCTCGTGACCCACTCCAGGAATACAGCTATCAGTATTGTGTTCTTATGGAAACTTTTCTTCCTAGTCCATTGTGTCTGCTTTGATGCTCTTTCTTCCTTCTGTAAAGTTCTGACACTGGATCATTTCACGATCACCCTCACCCAAGTTATGTTCTATCTTTGCAGCTGATCCTTCTGTATTGGTCAGGATGTAGGTGAACAAGCCTTCCTGCTGTTTTCTGGAGGTTCTTGTGCTGTGTCTCAGCTTTCACCTTTTTGGGTTGAGTCAGTTTTCTTCCAAATGATGTCTTATATTCTGGTTTGATTAGGCTGGGAGATGTATTAAACAGTCTTCATCCATGTTCAATTTTTCACCTATTAGTTTATGCATTTTTGTTAAAACTTAATTGAAACTCCAAAGAACAAAAATATGCATTTGTTTTTGCAGTCTGTTGCTGTAAAAATCTCCTATATTTTTTGTCCTACACATTTTATCTCTCCTCTTAGTATATTCCTAGCTAGAATTAAAATCTGGAAGCTAAATTGAGGATATTGTACCTGTTTGAGATTGTTATTCTATGGTTTTGTTTTCATTAGATTTTTGCTATTCTTTGCCTATGTTAGCTGCAAATATAGACTATCTAGAGCAGATTCCACACAGTTCCAGAAACCAAGAAATATTGAGGGATGTACTACTGCTCTTCTGGCTGGACAGAAATGTTTGGAACTTAAATGAGTTTATGAAAAATTGTTGACTTATTAAATGAAAAAAAATGAGAAATTATAAAAATTAAATGAGAAGAATAAGGAATCCCATTTTAATTGTATTGATATGTCTTTTCAGAGACTTCTTGTAAGGTGTGAATAGAAACAAGAACTTTGTATTGAACAAGAACTTTCCATATACAGGCCTCTGTATTAAGATTATTGATTTCTGTCATATGCTTCCCTCATTTTCTCCTTCCCACCATAGTTTCCTGGTGCATTTTTAACTCTTAGCCCTATTTGATAACTACAAGGACTTTTTCACATCATTAAAATCCCGTGGGAGCTAATGGACAGCTGGCCAGTTTAAGGAAAAGGGTACTCAGCCTGGAAGTACCGGGCACATTTCACCGTACTTCTGCCCCGGCTGCCTTGGCTTTGCCGTAGGGCTGCGGTGGGACCGTGGCTGCCTTGGGCCAAGGTGCAGAGTCTTGCCCTGTGGGAGATCTCTGCCAGCCTGATCTGCTGTCGGCCAGCCCTGAGCGCCAAAGTCAGCCCTTGTGTCGAGTCTCCTGCCATCACACGCTCAAAGTGAATTTGGTCCATGCTGTTAACTACCAGGCCCAAACACAAAGGTGTTCCCATCACTGTCACGTGGCTGCTGAAGTTCGCTCTTGCTCTCCTTTGTCTGCATTTCTACCGTCCTTTAACCTTGCGCTTTCCCTTTCCCTCTGTGTTGTGCCATGTGCTCTGTCTCCCTCTTTCACCTGTTTGTTATGTGCCTGTTTTCCCATTTCTCTCATCCTCTTCCCTCCTTCTCCCCTGTAGAGCCCCGATGGTCTTTCCTTTCACTGTTCCCTTTGTAGAACCAAGCCACTTGCTTTGTTCTTTCCTTTTTTCTTCGCCAGTCCCAGTCCTTGCCTGGGTCCCTGTGAGCGGCCTGCGTGCCTCTGCATTTCAGAGAGCGGCTATAAAAGCGTTGCCAGCTCAGCCTGGTGATAATTTAGAAAACACAGAGGAAGAAGAGCTCTATCTCCATTCCTGTTTCTTGTGCTATGCTGTAAGGGAGAAAAGAGCAGAATAGAAAAAGGTGCTGAAGGAGGAGAGAATTTCTGTGGTGAGGGGCTGAATGGCAAAGCAGGTGTGTGTGGGGGAATGCTGTTGTGCAGGGGGAAGAGGTAACTATGCTGTGTGTGCTCAGATCTTGTGTGACGTTTGGCCATTGCCCATTTCATTAGTACTTTATAAAGTTTAGCACAGATTTGTTATTCATCTTCACATGTCATGTCATTGTTTTATTTTGCTGAGTCTCAACGACCAAGTTTGCCTTTAGGGTATGTTCAGAAGCTTTTTATATATTCCTGTGTCCTGGGCAGAGCTTGGACTTTCACATTATTCTTTGTTATTACAGTTTTTTTGTTCATTCTTTTTACTTTAGTCTTTATTTTTCTGGTCAACCTTAAAAAAAATTATTTAATTTCATTTTATTTTTCAGACACCTCTTATTGATCCTCACATCCCACATCATCCTACTAAAACCATTACGCAGGTAATAGAACGTAGGTGTGCTGTAGAGCCAGGCCGTTAGACAAATGGAAATAACTACTTCCAACAGTGTAATATGAATCAGCTGAAGTGATGCTTTCTGTTAGATGTGAGAAGTATGTGAAACTTAAAATCCCAAATATATGCTACATTGCTCTGCAAAAGTAAGCCTCTGTGCAAGAGGACTTTTAATTCGGGAAAAAGAGCATTTGTGTTTCGTTTTGCAGAAAGCAGTACAGAGATTTCAGAAAGTTTAAAATCTGTGTTTCTTGGTCTTTCTTTTTATCCATGATCACCAAGGTTCCTTCAGAAAAGATCCTTAGAGCTGGAAAGATTTTGCGAAATACAATTCTGTCCCGAGCTCCTCACATGATAAGAGATCGTAAATACCATCTGAAGACTTACAGGTGTGTGAGCTGATTGTATAGAGGTCTCTGAATTTTTATGCCTGCCATTCCCTGATTTTTGATGTATGCCTTACCATACTTGCAGGTCTCAAAAGGTCTGAAATTATTTGTGATGCTATTTGTGTTGGATGTTGTGCAGTCTTTAATGGGCCTGGTAAATCCTTTCTGAAGTAATTTGACTGGAAATTGAGTCCATGATTGCGAACAGAGCATTCACAGACAAACACTCTTCCAAAGCATAGTTAATAGCATAGTTAGCTGGAATGTTTTGTGTAGTACCAAGTTAAAATGAAGACTCTGTTCTCTTTATATATCAGTAAGAGATAATAGAAAAGTTTATTAATATATTATGTTCCTGTACTGATTGCTACAGCAGTCTTGCTTGCTGTGGCGTTCTGAAAATTCACCTGGTGAGAAATGTTCCTGATGCAGATTTGCTGCTCTATTTAATTTTTTTTTCAGTGTATTGCCAGGCTCTCTTATCTTCCTGCTGGTGGCAGCACAGTCTTGCTGAAGTGGGATAACAATGGCACTTATAGAAAGAAATCTGCCTGCAAGGTGTCAGATCTACCTACTATTGGATTAAGAAACAATCAGTTTGTTTTAGTGTCTAATGATTAAATCAAATGCCTAATTCATTATTCAGAGTGTTTTTAAGTAAAAATTATTTTTTAATCTCTGAGTGTTTTTCTAAATCGTAAATCAATATGTTGCTGATCTTCATTTGAAATAAATGTGTTGATTTTCCATATTTCAGCCCAAAATGTATTTAATATACAAAGATATTTGGCACTTGTGAGTTGATTCAAGAATATGTCACAATATGACATTGCTGATTGGTCTAGAATAACAAAAGAGCGTATATGATAAATTAAGAGCAGTGCTGGTCCAAACAACTGCACCATTTTCTCTTACACTCTTACTGTTCTGCTGAGCTAGGGAGCGTTATGATAAAGAATTTTACTAAATGACCTTGTGGCTTTTTGCTTTTTTAACCTTTTTTGGGTGTTTTCCAGAACTTGAGACCTGCTCTTCTCTGCCTCTGGGTCAGTCCAGAGGTGCAGGGTTACCAAGACCTCCCATGAGAGAGCCTCAGGATCACTGTACTAAAACGAGTGTCTCCAAATACAGTGTGACAAAGGCTTGGTTATAAATGCAGGAACACCTTCATAGCACTCACTCTTCCTGTGGAGGCTGCATTGGCATAACTTCTACAGTATTAAATTTCTGTTTTCATGCAAGATTCTGAAAAGAATGTGGCTTTTGGTGTCCCATGGTATACAGAGGTTTCTTTTGAAAACTGGATTGGAGGTTGTTGCACTGGTGCTATAGGTTTTGTACCAGGTGTCACAGGCTGAATTAGATCCTCTGAACTCTGCATTTCCCAAAACACTTGTTTTTCTGAGGTGATCCTCTCAAAACTAGACACCTTCACTGGTATTTCAAGCATGTGCAGGTAGATGGTGACATGGGGTTTTCTGCAGGGAGATTTAACTAAGTCTGTACAGAGTTTAAGATACCACTGTTGCTGGCAGTCACTGTGTGCAGTCTCTCTCTTGGCACCCTTCCTTTTCATTCCTGTCTGTTTATCTGTCCCTCAGGCAATGCTGTGTGGGAACAGAACTAGTTGACTGGATGATGCAACAAAGTCCTTGTGTCCATTTACGAACCCAGGCTGTTGGCATGTGGCAAGTACTGCTGGAAGAAGGTGTTCTTAACCATGGTAAGATAAAGAAAATCAGTATCTTGACTAAAATGTGGGCAGTGTGTGACATCAACACCTCTGTATTCTTTTTCATGAAAAAGAAAGGGATCATGAGCCTAAAAGAAATGCCACAGAGAAGCCTGTTTATTCATAAGTGCAAGTGCAACACACAGGCAGTACTATTTGAATCTTGCTGCCAGAGTACTTTTTTAACTTACGAGCATATTGCATCATAAATGAACATTTTATAATGATAGCTCTAATTATACTTAGGAGTACACTGGCTTGTGCTTATATTGTTAGAACTGGGTAGAACTCAGGCCAAAACCAAGGGATGTATTACCATACATAAAACTAACCTTCGTCAAAGATTTGTAGTATTTAGAAGTGAATGTGAGTATTTGTGTTTGCTCAGATTCATTATTTTGCAATGATTCCCATTGGTTTTGGAGGGGTTCCCAAATTCAGCACACCAGATATTCCAGTGCAGAAGTCTGGGATTTTATGTTAGTTTTCTGATTGCATTTTACATTGACTTTCAGTTTCCATTTGGCAGGATTTAGTTGGTAACAGGATATTACAGCCCTCAAAAAGGGTAGGTTTCCTAAGCAATATTCATTTTTGAAGCTTTGCATATACATTTTTATTAAATGCAGAAGAGCAGCTCTGTTACAGTAAAATTGCATTTATTGTCTGTTGTGCTTCCCATATCCCAGGGAGAAATTTCCATATGGGGAAGGCAGATTGTTTCCACTGCTCCCTTACCCTAAGGGCCCTAGCTTGAATTCCTGCCATATATTCCCTTGAACTCTCTGGGGCAAGCTAGTGCAAGCTCCATCACAGTATCCAACTCAACACATCACTCTGACTTACTTGGAAGACCAGGGGTTTGCCATATCATAATGTTACTTTAGAGGTCTTCTCATGGAAGTTCTTCCATTAAGTTATTCCACCAGGACACAGGTCAATGAACTTGCCCCTGGGATTATACCTTGATGATACACATTTCTGCTACATCACAAGGACTTCAGTTGCTTTTGCTACCTTTTTCAGCCTGTCTAAACATGCCGAGCAAAGTGTTTGTGCTAGAGAATACTCTTAGAAATTCATAGTGTAACCATTTTCCCCAGTGCAATTTGTTTGATTAAATTAAATTACTTTCAAACAATAAGAAAATAGAACTCATAAAAAAACATATATATGTGTATGCAGGTATTTATACACACTCACAATACACTTATTTAGAAGCCTTTTGGAAAGTATTTGTAGTACAATTTAAAAGTATACTCTTCAAGCTACATACCTGAGAAATAGTTTCACGCTCTTACAGTTTTTCTGTAGCCTTCTTTCCCTTCTTAAATAATCTATCTGTAACAAACACGATACTACACAGATTTCTACAAGGTTTGCTTTGTTGAGGAGCATTCAATATTTGATGTGTTACGTTGTTTTCAGTGGACCAGGAACACCACTTTCAAGACAAATACTTATTTTATCGATTTTTGGATGATGAGCGTGAAGATGCCCCTTTGCCAACTGAGGAGGAGAAAAAGGAGTGTGATGAGGAGCTACAGGACACTATGCTGCTTCTCGCTCAGATTGGGCCAGATGCTCATATGAGGATGATTCTCAGGAAACCGTAAGCAGAATAATGAGTTAATAGTATGGGTCTTCCTTGTGACATGGAAACGAGAGAAACCTGTGTTGATTATCAGCCTTTGTTTCAGACAGCTTTATCGTGACTTCAAAGCCAGTATAAACTCTGTTTGACCCTCCATTGGCGACAAGCTTTAAGCGGGTAGAGTTTAGTGACCATGGCAGACATATTTTACTGCTAATTAAATGCACTGAGAATAAGGAATAACTGAAGCTCACCTTCACTGGAGATTTACTTGTAAGGGACCATTCAAGACAGGCAAGTACACAGGGCTGGATCCTGCTACCTTGAGGCCATTGGCAAAGTTTGTCTTTGCTATGGGACGGGGTGGGCCCTGCCTTCAGTGTGAGAACATTTTTCATAGCAAAAGATTTTTGAATCACCTAACCCAGGTGCTTGTTCCTGTTCTGTTTCCATCTGTATCCTTTCCAGGCTCCATTCCTGTTTAGATCCCAAGCTCATTTCAACAGCACTTTTCCAAAACTTGCTAAAAGCGTTGAATTTCAAAAAGTGCCATCAAACACTTGTGCTATAAAAACAGGAAACGCTGCCATGCAGCAATAGGTTTGAAGTATACATTTTATTTCTTCTCCTTATTAGAGATCTTGTCAATACAACCAAAGGAGCACTGGCTCCCTGTCACACAAAGTACAAGGACAAGCCAGAGTGAGAGCAGAGTATTTCCATACATCCTTAGGGAGTCATGGAATTGGGATCTTGTTTCCTCACAGACATGTCCTGTGCACCTTTCCAGAGGTGCAAAAGTGAGCTTTTGCACCTCTGAGCAGACGCCAGTCATTGGAGACCGAGCCATGCTGTGTGTGCTGGGATCCTGCTTCTCTGCACTCTCTCCTTTGCCCCAGGCAAACTGAGCAGGTCATCTCTTGGAGGATTTCCCTTTTGGTTATCATGGGTTTTGGCTGCCCACTACATTTGCTTTCTGTCATGACTTCCAGAACAGTGGTTCTAAGTTTACATTAGCAGGATAAATATTGATTATCATATGGACTGTTTACAGAGAGCTGAAAGGCTGGAAGGAGGCTGTGGAAAGTACTGCTCTTCTCTCTGTGTCGTCACTTGCACAGCATCACCTGAAAGAATAGTAATAGGAGATTTTTCATGGAGTGTAGTGAGGAGAAAGAGATTTTCTCAAGACTGATATTCATCTGACATTTTTCCCTATCCCTGAAAGTGCTTATTTTTGCAGCCCTTTACTCACTGAAGTAACCTTGTACAGATAGGGACCATATTAACTACTGTTCCAGTATTCAGTTTACATGCGTAATGATTTTGTTAGTTGAAAATCCTCCCTGGACTGAGCTGTAGCACAGCTGTTAAAATCTCCATGAATCCTCAGAGTCCTGCTAGTTTTGACTAGACACTATTACAGCTGCCAAAAGTTCAAAGGAATTGTCATGGCTTCAGAGGTGCTGGCTCTAGCTGACCTGAGCAGGACCCACAATTTTCAAACCAACACAGCTGCATTTTGTAACAGTAACCGTTTCCAGAGAGGTTGCAGAACTCAGATAATTACCCTGAAAGAAATAAGACAATATTCTTTGATGAGAAGATTACTTTGAGAATTTGATTGTATAATGAAGCTGTTGCTTTGAAAGGTACTTTCTATTGTTCAAAATCTGAAAATCTCTAACAAAAAGTGTCACTTGTTTTGACAGCCGACTTAAAAAATTCTCTGTTTATTACATTAACTGCAGCATTTTAACTGTCAAACTGTGAAAGAATGTTCTATAGTTTAAAAAACAGAATAGAGCTCAGGGAAATTTTTGGCAGGCTCTTGTTGCTATTGTGTTTTTTTTTTCCTTTGGAAACACATATACTGAATGTGAAAATAGCTTTTTGTGAAGTAGCAAACACAGCTCTCTGCTCCTTATAATGGCTGGAGCACAGGTGCAGACCTTGCTGAAGTCCCTGTAAAAATTACTGTAGAATTAATACAGCTCCTCCTTAAGTGTTTCCCCCCTTCAGTATGAAAATACATCCTGATGGTAAACCCTAATTTAATAGGATGCTATAATACAAAGCTAAACACAATAATAACAGGAATCTTTAAAGGAAGAATTGTATTCATTCGACAACAGTATTTAGCTCAGATAATGTTATGGATTACATTCCTTTTTTAATGCCCTAGCCTAAAGTAAGTTAGCAGTGTGACTGAGATAATAAATCTGTGTTATATGTTCTTGGTGGCTTCACTTAGCACATTTTTTTCTTAGTAGAGAGCATTTGACACTTAATCACGATGTTATGGGGTCTCTGATCTTTTCCCTTGTTCTTATTATCTGAGAATTTTCTGGTTAACTGTACAATAAAAATAATCAGTGATACTGCTTGGACATACATGGCTTATCAATGGCAAAGTACTATGTTATTGTCAACATCCTAGTCACAGAGAAGCTCGATGTCTCTGACCTTGGTAAATTCTCCAAGCACTGAACAGTTTTTTATTGATCACTTAATATCACCTGAGTTCTGTCCATTAATGTGTACCCTCGTTCCCTACCTATTCCATTTATTATCCGCTCTATAACCAGCTATTGCTGTTAGAATGTGTCCCCTGCAGAAACTAGGTCTTTACACAGCAGGATCCTATAAATCAACATCAGTGGGTCACCACACAGGTTTTAAAGACACAATGATGTCTAATATCTCTCCACGTGACATCTGCAGGAGCAGAAGTAAAGACTAGGTACAGATATCTGCTACAGATTGTCAGTCCTTCCAGTGTGCTAACATAGCAAGCAAATGGACATGCTGAAGGAAGAGTGTGTCCTTTTGTGTTTATGATAGAGATCTCATATAGTAAGACATCATCCATTTTATCTTTTGATTTAACGTAGAAATTTCTTAATTTTTTACACTATATTTTCCTAGACATACTCGTTTTGCAAGCATGTAATAAAATTAAAGTTGCTACTTCCCTATTATTTGTTAAAATCCTTAGTTTTTTGTTTGCTAGCTAGTACTGGCTTAGTTTTATGCTGTACTTAATTAAGCTGCCCTGCATAAATCACCAGGAGTGTCAGCCTTGTAATTTCAAGCCAGATTCAGAAACAGTGGAGTATTTTGAGTCACTAGAGGGCATAGCAGTACCAAACCAATTTCTGGTTTTCCCTTAATAGTTTGATTCTGTATGAGAAAAGAGTAATTTAATCCAAAATGGTTTTTAGTCTAAATTTGTCTATAATATGGGTAATGATAAATGCATGTCATTGGTAAGTGAAGAACAGAAGAAAAATAAAGCTTGCTTAGCAGAGATGTCAGTTCTCCTTATGTTTTCTGTGACTTCTTCAGTTTTTCTTTCATCCAAAAGAAGTCTCCATCCAGCTACTTTTGTAAAAAAGATGCAATATAACTCCAGAGTAACACAGCTGGGTACTCGTGTGTCTCACACAAGATGTATTCAGACTCTTGAATCAGGAGGGGACTAGGCAGAAAATCTATAGAGCGCAGTATTTCTTCATATGACTTTCCTGATCTTCTAGGTGCTAGTCTCCTGTAATACTGACATTTTAGGAGGAAAACTTCTATCAGAAAGGAAAACTTCTGTCATTGTAATTTTTCTTTTAGGGCTGTCCAAAGATTAAATTGTGCTGTTAATCCTTTTGACACCACACATTTCAGACAACTGGGTTTAGAACTGTGCTTGTTCTGATGGTGGAGGACGTAAACCTTCTCATTTGAAACTCCTGCCCTCAGACTGGACTTCTTGTATCACATTTCCTCTCTTGTATCCCATTCCATCCTCTCCCTTACATCTTTGTTGCTCTTTTCTTTTGTTCTTGGCCCATTGAATTAATTACTTATAATCTGCTTTTCACAAATATAAACCATATTGTTTGGAAGGACTTAGTCCTATAAAAGTAGTTTGAAATAATGCTTTAAAGGAATTTTTCTTCCTGTGTGTCCGTATGTCACTCCAATGTGCTGTCTGAAGTTATATGACAGGAGAAATTGTTCTTTTAGAAAATAATATTGTATTAGATAGTGTAACTGAAGAGAATCTTGTGAGTGAGAAAAAGATTGGGAGTTACTATCAAGCTCCCACAACTCCTCCTGTGTGCTGTTTATTAGATCCTGCAAGGCATCTCTGACACACTGCAGTCCCCACGGTATTTGTGTCCTTCTTTAGCAATCAGAAAATTTTGAGTAGGTTACAGAAATGCAAGTATTTCAGCCACAGTGCCAGCCTCCTTATTACTCCTTTTGCTAGAGAAGTATTATTCCTTCATCAATGCATTGATGAAGGAATAATTCTTCTCTAGCACAAGCTTCTTGTATTTTTCAGTGAGAGAAGTTGAAACTACTGAGTCGTTCTTATTTACCTTTGTGGCTAAACAGCAGCACTCAGCATTAACTGCAGAGCAGTTGTTAGCTGTCCTCCAGGATGCACTGCTGCATCTCCAATTTGTTCAGCAGAAGTTCACATACTTCTTTACAAACGACTACAACTGTGTTGACTACAACTAATTAGTACTGCATGTGAAAAATAGTGCATGTCCAACTCACAGGAGTCCTTTTGAAAGGAACAAATCTTTATGTACTATTTCCGATTTATGTGACCATTTTATACATATATAGAACACTTGATTTAATCAGAAAAGCTGCCTAATCAGGATCTCTCTAAGGTGGTTGCCATGGCTGCTGCTTAGTGTCATTCAGGTAGCATTCTCAGAGCTTCCATCCTTTGTGTGTTTCAGTCCTCCAGCCAGAAACATCATTCAGTCCCTGTTTAGTGAGGATGTACACTTCACTAGACAGTTCAGCAGCATTTTGTGTTGTTTTGTCTTTCTGTGAAGTATTTCTTTTGGACATTTATTGCATTTAATTATCCCTTTTATCTTCTCTCTATAGCCCTGGCCAGAGAACTGTAGATGACTTAGAATTTATATATGAAGAACTTCTCCACATTAAAGCCTTATCTCACCTTTCTACCACAGTAAGTAATTTTAAAAATTATAACTCATCACCTAAAGGGAGGCTCAATTTTTACTTCTGGTTTTACTTCTGACTTTATTAAAGTTGGAGAGCCTGTAACCATTTTCATTTATACTTTCCATGCAAAGAATTTTTTCCATCTGTGAGATTCACTCAAGCAATGTAGAGGTGTAGGTTGTCTATTTGATATCAGATATAATTCTCTTCAAGTTTTTCTGCACAGCCCCTCACTTGGCACAGGTGCCATTGTCTGGGTCCCTGTCCATGTGTAAATGAAGGTACTGGTGCTACTGAATTTTGCAGAATTGATTTCTGTAAGGAGTCTTGGCTTGAACCAGTTAGGAGGAGGAATAGCAATGTGGAGAAAGGTGCACTGTGCAGTGCTTGCTGGTTGGAGTTTGGTCATTGAGTGATAGAAAGCTCATCAGACACTTTCTCCCTGAAGTGGTCAAGAACAGCACAGAGAATTAAGGATAAATAGAATGGACAGGAGAATGCATCTGTTTAAGGTCTCACCATCATTGATATGCTGTGCAGACAACTGAAACAAGCGGAATAGCACTTTATTTGGTAGCAATAACATGTGGATGCTTTCAGAAAAAGGAAACCAGTCAGAAAGTAAACCCATATTTGACAATACCTTCTTCAGAATCTCTTGTAATTTTCTGTCATTCTCTGTTAGCTTGGACAGATGCAGCTAATTATGAAGCTGCATTACAGAAAGATAGTACTCCATGCAAACATATAAAAACCTGAACTACATTTTTCAAAAAAGGTCGGCATTCACTTTTGGTATCTGAATTACATTGGTGTTAAGGAAATTTCCCAGTTTGGCCATTTGTGAGACTCTGGCAGTCACACTCCCAGCACCAGAGACTGTCACTTCTAGGGCTGGAGCCCCTTCACAGGGGGCAGCTCCAGTGACCTAGAGGGTCCTGATGGACTCCTGCACATCCCCCACTCACACAGCCAGACCAGGTTTCCTCACTGCTTCCACCCCAGGTTTCCCATAGCAGAGCCTTGTATGTCTTGCTCCATAAAGCAATTTATTCACAGTGTAGTAACACAGAAACAGCTCAAGCTGAGGAAGGATCCCAAATAAAGACATGCCATGGCTTTTATCCTCTCACTATCCAAGCATTCAGAAGTCTCACCCTTCTTCCCGTGTCCTGTGCTCCTGCTGTGTCTCCCAGTGTCCATTCAGCTGGCTGGTGCCACTTGTGCCATTTGCTATGAAGAGGGCTGGCAGTCCATGGCCTCTTGTCTCTCTGGGCTCCCACACAGAGCTCAATCTGCAGACTTTCTGCTGCTTGCAAACCAAGGAACCTGCAGAGTTACCTGCACTAGATCTATTCCTCAACATGGCAACAGACATCCAAAAGCCTTAAAAATCCCTGGAATGTAGGGAAAAGAGTAATTAAAGAAAGATCCAGAAATGACTCTTTAAAAGTTAAACAAAAGAAACTACCAAGATAGAGAGATATTGAGACGGAGTGTAGAAAATTCTCGAAACTGAGGACATAACCCAGAACAAAAAAATTTGAAACACAAAATATTTTCAGCTCAGAAGAAAATCAGACTTGAGGTCAGATACCACAGCAAGTACCATATGGTACAAGTATGGAAAGTGATATAAACTGCAGAAAATACTTGGCATTTTGAAGTACAGATGATTCCATGTTTTTAGTAAGAATCTGGAAATGTCAGCTTATTATGTGCATCATGAACTAAAGAAGATGGAAACTAAGACTAGCTTAGAGGAAATCTTCAGAGGAACAACAGACAGCATTGCTTCTATGAACCAGAAGATTAATGACCAATCAACTTGAAAGGAAATGGAATGTTTAATTTATTTTAAGTAAGGCATAATTCCTAAAATAATAAGTTTTCTTGATATGCCACAAGCAGTTGAAAGTAAAACAGATAAAGCTCAAGTCTCATGGTGAACTAATTCCTGCTAGAGAAGCCTGTGAAGTTAATGTACAAATGAAGAACAATTATATAATACAGTGTTAAAAACAAGTCAAACCTTGGGCTTCATCAAGTGGATCCATTCACAGCAAAGGCCAATGACTGAATCAACTGAGAAGACATCTGAGAACATAAGTGGATAGGAATGTTCTCTGCTGTGTGCAGAACAGTGCTAATGGGGTTGTATTTCCTGGCCTTATGAAAGTATCATTGCCTTTGAGCAGAAGTTACAAAGGAGTTTGGTGAACTAAGTGTTAGGGAAATCACAGGCCTCTGAGTGCGGTCAGTACACTGACCTCACTGGTCAGTGTACTTTAAGAAACCTGTCCAAGCACCTCTATTTATCTCTCTTTTACTCCAGGCTTCAAAAAGGGACTGCTTTCCCCTGATTGTCAGGAAGGAGTTCTAGGAGAGGTGGCTGATGTTTGTACTTGGTGCCTGAGTACCAAGGTTGGGTGGATGCCTTTAAGTACATCAGTGCCCAAATTTTTCCACCCATCTTAGGAGATGCAGCCATCAGATTCTCATTTGGATTGTGTCCAGAATTTGAAAGTTCCTTCCCAAGTCTTTCTTCGTGGTCTAAATTTTTTTTTTTTAGTTTAAACAAATGAGACGGTGGTGTGAAAATACTACTACTAAATAGATGTTGAGGCCAGCTTTTGATCTGTATTTAGCATGGTTAAGTTACTTGGTAGTACCTCTGATAAATGGCTTGTCACTAGCTGACATTCTCCAAATAAATGAATCCTGCTGCTTGGAAATTGGCCTCTAAGTTCTTGGAGACTTGCGGTTGTATGAAGAGAAACATAAAACACAGAAGAACTCAGGATCATACAAGATTCCCAGTGCTACTGCTATTTTGTGGCAGTAACACGGTGTTTACAGTGACAAAAAGCAGTTGTAAGCAGTGTCTCACTAGTGACAGCTGCCCAGTCAGCCAGAGCTAATCACACCAAGGGCAAAACAAGCCCAGCAAGGAGCCGGCTGACACCAAGGGCGGTGTCACATTCTCCAGTTCCTGGAAGAGGTACTGAGCTGGATGCTTTGCCTGGGAAGCTGTCAGGCAGAGAGGGGACTCAGCAAGTCCAGGTGGCTGTGCCTCACAGCTTGACACAGCAGAAGCACAGACTTAGGTCAGTCTGAACCAGATTCCCCAGGAAACAACAGGAATACTTCCATGTAGTAATTGACAATGGCTAGCTATCTTCTGTAACAGATTAACTGTTACCATTTGAAACTTCCTGTCTTGTTGATGACCATTTCACATGTGTGTGTACAAAGATGTGGAGACCCATATCTCAAAAATGCCCTTGTCTGAGCCATTTGGAGCCAGGAAATGTAGCTCTGTAAAGCAAATCAATAGGAATTAGGAGATCAAGGGAAGCAGACCAATGACTGATCAATGATGCAGAGGGAAGGAAAGTACAACAGGGCTGTATTATGTGACCTCATCCCCAGGAGGAATGAGATTCATATAATAACTATAATCTCTCTTTCTATTTTAAGGTAAAACGGGAATTAGCAGGTGTCCTCATTTTTGAGTCACATCCCAAAGCAGGAACAGTCTGTAAGTAAATGGAATCCTGTCAGATCTCTTTCTTACCTGTGCTATGAATATTTAAATTCCTGATGTTTAAATGACAAGAACAAAACTTGGATGCATTCTTCAAACTTGGTTGTCACTTCATGTTTAAAACCTAGGATAATAAGTGTTAGCTTAGTCTGTTGCCAAATGCGGGGACAGTACCAAAATTAATTCTGTATCCTTGTTTGAGTGTATGTATCACTTACAATTTAGTTGTGTTTTTATCTAGAATTTTTGGTTTAACCAATCTCTATTTAAAATGTATTTTAATATAATCCTGTATTTAAAAAAAAAAATCTTCCCGCACAAAATAAAGGATTTAAAATGATAGATTACTCAGACATGTTAATACTGAGACATTTTAGCAAATGAATATTAAATTCACAGTCACTAGAAAACTGGGTTAGGACATGGTGCTACTAGTGGGATTCAACCTGTGTGCTAATTAGCAATTGATAACCTGACATATTGATAAAGTAGTTGTTGGAGCTGTCATAGAAAAGAAAAGCAACTTTCACATCAGTGTAATAAAGTAACTATATGGGTATGAATCGTTTTTCTAAATTCTGAAGGCAATTGCTCTTAAAATCATAGTATGCTCTTTTATAAGGTAGACATTTATATGCCCATAGAGTTGCCTTGAATTTTATTGGGTGAAGAATCTGGCCCATTTTTATTTTGAATAACTATATTCTAACCATAAAATCTTTTCTCTCTTGTAGTATTTAATCAGGGAGAAGAAGGTACTTCTTGGTACATTATCCTAAAGGGATCAGTAAACGTAGTCATTTATGGCAAGGTATTTTTTCAGAAGCTATTTTATATGATTGTTATTATTGAAATTGTAAGAGTAAACTTTGAAGGAATACAGTTTAATTTAGAGCAAAATTGCTTTGTCTGACAAAACAAATAGATTGTAATTTTATTAAGAAATGATCCAGTGGTTTCACTGATTATACTTTCAGTAGATTGCTCTATAATTTTGGGATATATTACACAGTTTCTGACTATAATCCATCAGAGTTACATTGGTATCTTTAGGATAAAGTAATTTGCTGGAATTTGGTGGATTGCCAGACTTCTCTCTCATGGGGGTTTTGCCCCATTCCTTTACCATCATGTTGTCATGCATTTGGATGACTAACTGTTCTCATGCATGTCTGACAAAAGTACTGCTTTGTGACTGGTGGTTCTCAGGTTGGCTGAAGCTCTTCCAAATTTATTGGAAGAGCTTCATTTCATTTTCATTCAACTATTCATTTTAGTTAAGCCATAGACCAAAAAGCATCTTTATTAAATTTCCTGTTTATGAGAGAGATTTTTCAAGGCAAAAAGGGAGATCTTGGTACACAGGAATCCCTTGAGTCTTAAACCCTACTCCTCACTGATTTCTCATTCAGTGACTGAGAATCCTCCATTTGAAAACAAAGCATTTCACCAAAATCCAGCACAAGGGCCCTAGTGATAAGTCTGTTCCTAAGTAACACATATTAAGCCATGTTTTTTACATCACTGGGTGGGCCAGATCCTCTGTTACTGTGAATTGGAGGAAACAGAGCGCTGCTGATGTACAACAGCTGGAGATGTGTTGTTCTATGTTACTTCTGCAAATTTGATTTTATTTTTTAGGGCCTCTATAAATAAAAAACAAAATAGCTGACAACTTTCTGTCTTCAGCAGGCTGAGAAGAGTCCTTCAAGCTGAATGCAATTTCAGAGAGCAAGCTGATTCTTTTCTGTTCTTGCCTCTCTTTAGTAATAGTAATAACCAGCTAACAAGTATTGTTTCCTAGTCATTATTTTGGCTGTTGATTTCCTGCCAAATAGTTTATTTTGGTGTTTGATTGTGAAGTCCAGTGTTTGTACAAGGACTTTCAATAGAATCCAGAGTAATGATGGGTTTCTGCATGTAAATGTTTTGCTCTGTGCAGGGTGTGGTATGTACTCTACACGAAGGAGATGATTTTGGCAAGTTAGCACTTGTGAATGATGCTCCCAGAGCAGCATCCATTGTTCTTCGGGAAGACAACTGCCACTTCTTGAGGGTAGATAAGGAGGACTTCAACAGGATCCTTAGGGTAAGAGTGGAAAGGGCTGCCCTCAGTGTGGTATCAGAACTTGCAAGTTCTTCTAGAGGCTGGCATTTCTATGAATATATTAATATTAATAACTTTGTTTGTGGTATGCCTCATTGTGGAACAGAGATGAGACAGTCTAGAATGTCACATAAAGAATATGTTCATTGCCTTTCCTCTCTCAGCTCAGACATGAAAATATGACCAAATGGAATCTTTTGTCTCTCACATTCTATAATCTAGCATTTGCCCTGCTCAGTTTTTCCTCCTGCTGCTCAGGATTTTGTAGTGATATTCTGTCCAAATGTTGAAAAAAAACAAGGTCACCCCTTCTCCCACGTAGGTCAGTGTCAGATACATCAAATTCAAGAGTTTCAAAGCAGAATCAAGTGGCAAATGGCGTAAGTTACAGATGTCTTCACACAGATTTCTTTATCAGAGAACTCTAGAAAGATATTCCCTGACTAATTTTACAGTTATTCATTTTGGGGTAAATGTGTTCCAAAGTCCAACTTTAATTCTGTAAATTCAGGCTATTTTGTGGTCATTCATAGTAGAGGAAGTCAAAACTAGCACCATCCTGTATTTGAACCTATATATGCCCAGTATTGCAGCAATAAAACCAGTCCAGAAAGAGTGCTCCACTAGAAATATGACTTGTGGTTACTGTACAAAAAGGAATGAGGATCCCTTGGGGAGTAAGGCTGGGTTGGCTGTGGAGACTTACAACTGATTAAACTTTGGTCTAAAATTCAAAGATCCAAGTCCATGGTCTTACTAATTTTTACCTGCGGTTTTTGAATGCGCATTATACTTAACTTTTTTCATTTCTACTCTGAGTGAGCTGGTAGTAGAAAATGAACAGTTTACTGAGTTAAGACTTCCTGTTCTTAAGTGCTATTTTTTGTTTTTTATTATTATTTGATTTTAGAGAAAAGTCAGATTGTAGAAAATAGTGTTTGCATATAAGTGGGAATAGAGATTATGTTACATATGGCAAGCTGTGGAGAGACTTTTCCAGCAAACTTTTTTTTTTTTTTAATTTGACATCTCCATAATATGGAGATTTTTAATATAGCTCTTGCTCTAGCCTCTCTCATAACTCTCTGCTTCTTGCCTCGGTGCCAGTGCTTCATTCTTGGCTCTGTGTGTGAGAAAAACAGAATAAAGACAGATAAATACAGAGAGAAAGAACCAACACAAGTACTTCATGTTTGAAAGTCATGCAGTTTGTTAGAGTAACTAATCAGGCAAATCAAGTGCAGTCACATTTATTAAAAGTAACTTGTCTTGCAGGATGTGGAAGCAAATACAGTAAGACTCAAAGAACATGACCAAGATGTCTTGGTGTTGGAGAAGATCCCAGCAGGAAACAGAATTTCTAATCAAGGAAATTCACAGCCGCAGCACAAGTACGTTTTCATTCAGTAGTGCAAATGTCAGACAATTATTAACCTTTTTAAATGGTACTATCATCCAAACAATAGCATATTCCCGTTTGGTGGAAGACTGCAGTGCATATAAAGGTTTTCTTTTTTTAGTCACCAGCACATGCCCCATACTCAGTAATATATCCATTTTAGCAGCACTCCAGCTCTATGTCTTTACACAATTCCCCGAAGATCTCAGTGTAAATACTTCCCTCAAGAAATAGCTTCCAAATAGACTAAGCATGGAGACTGATGAAACCCTATTAATCTGAGTTACTGTAAAAAATGTGAGGAAAATACATTGTTTTATTGTTAAGTACAGATATTTTTACTTTCTATTTTGCACTGTAGATGCTAAGAAGAGTTTGCTGCTATGAACAATTTATATACAATACAAAGATCTCATGCAATGAAAGTTGCAGAGCTTATCTTAAAGAAAAATTTAGCACTGTAATAACAATATTAACTATATTTTCCTTTCTTACTGAAAGGGAAAAAGTACAATTCTGTTTGGATACTACTGTGATAAGAGTAGAGTGAGGCTATTACCATTCTGAACCTTGGTAAAACCCCTAAAGGCTTTGTAAATGTGTTATTTGCAAATGGATACACAATTTTCTTCAGAAGCATTCAAACGATTTCAACAAGTTTTGAATCCTTTACCCTGAACCTCACTTTCTCTCAAAAAAGAGCCAGTTTATTGTGCAATACTTTGAGTACAGTTTTTATCTCATCTGGGATTTCATATACTTGTTTTATCTGCATGACTGAATGCAAAGATTTATAAAGATCTGTGAAGGTTGCATTCTTTGCATTTTATATACACATTTCACATTTTTCAGGAACTTCTATTTTATTTTTCACTCAATCTATTAAAACATCTAGAAGAACAATCTATGCTACCAGGGGATCTTGACTGTATCCAGTGGATTTGCATCAGCAACTGCAATGCACAGCAACTTGGTCAGAGATTTAAATTCATTTTTGGGTCTGAGACATTTTTCATGCTTCCAAAAGTGAAATTTCCATTTTGAAACGCTGCCTTCCTTGCAAAATCTTTGCGCCAGCATTACTTGTATTATTTAACATTTTCTTTTTCAGAATTTGATAAAAATAGCCAGAGATATTTATGGTAAATGGTTAAGTTAGGCCTCACATACCAGGAATATTTTCAGGTAAAGCTCATTCACTTCTGTAAATATTTTACTCATTTGGTCAGGTTTTGGGTGCTACAAATGTGCCAGAAAGGAAGCTCTTGCTGATAACTATGACCAAAAGACGTAAGTTACCCAAAAGAGAAGTTACCCTGAAGGTTCACTGTCTGCTTTTCACCAGTTGGATTACTTTGTTAATACTATGTTGGCAGTGTCTTCATGTCTAAAGTTTTCAAAGTGAGTTCACTGGGTTTGAGGATAACATTTCTTTCCTTAGGAAATAGAGTAAGTGGCGACATTTATGTTTGAGAGACCAAACCAAAATTACCAAAGTTTCTTGATTTCCAGAATGTGTTACTGGAATGTGTTAGTTGAGTGTTCAGTACTTTTAAAAATGACTGCCCAAAAGAGAAGCTTATCAGGCACCTCTTCTCAGGAAAGAACTAATTTTCTCATCTTGGCCTTGGGAGAAACTTCATTTTGGGAACAGATCCTTTTGGTTACAATTTGGATTCCAGTGCCTCCTCTATGGAGACAGAGCTCCTACCCAGCTCCCTGAGCTGTGCTTTCAAGCAGTGGCAGTTTCGCTTGGGAGGACTGGCTCTGAAGTTATTGCTGCCAAGATCTAACTCTTTATGGGTGATCACACTCATGCAGCATGAATTCAGCAGCCCTGCAAGTCACTTCACTGTTCATTTTCACTTTCATATTCAGAGTACAGCAACCTGTGATTTCTCTGCTTCACTCACTTAGATACTTGGTTAGTATCTCTGTGAGAATGTGCACTGGCTTAACAAGTGTTTGTGTTCTTGGGACATCAATACAGTTCTTCCAAAGAGGTTGGCAGGTAAAAGAACTGTGACGGTCAGTGCTCAAAGTGAGGAGGAGCTCCCAGGAGCTCAGCTCCACCACTTATTTCTCAGCAGGAGCAGAGTATCTTCACTTCTCAGGGATTTTTTCTTTCTTTTTTTTTCTTTTATTTTTTTTTAAGTTTCATACTTTGCAAAGATTGAAAGAATGGAGGGAAATACAAAAAAAATCTGATCCGTGAGAAAAGAGAAAAAAAAGATGACAGGACAAGTTTTCCAATATCATATGATATTCTGCTGGTACTTAAGATCTTGCCAGTGCTTTTGCATGAAGCAGAAAAACCTGGCTGTTGCACTAGTTCTCTCACCTCACTAAATTAATTCCAGGAAATGGTACAATCCTCAGTCTATTGACTTGAAACACTTCAGCTATGCAAGGTGTTGCACAAATTTGAAGATACAGTGTGCTGTTTCATTATCTGCCCCCACCTTCCCAGACCAACCTGTGTCAGGGATGCTGAAGGAAATTGTTTCCTTGCTCTGACACTGATACACACTAGTTTTTATTTCAGGCTCATAGTGAGCCTGTTAAGACCCTTTAATAACCACAAGTTGCTGTTGTTACTGAGATATTTATTCTCAGTGGAGGAGCATTTCTGTTTTACTTCTCTGAGTTTGGACCATTGCAGCTCTGGTGATTGTGGTGTGATTGTGGTGGTGTTATACTGAAGTACTTGTGTGGGGAGGGAGCTGTCTCCCATCCTTGGGCAGGGTGCAGAATGTTACTGTTAAGGTTTATGGAGGGAAGCCAGCAAAGATTGTGAGGGGTTTTGTCCTAAGCACACAGAGATTCTGGTCAGAGCAGATGTTTGGGACACAGCAGCACAGCAGTCCTGACTTTCTTGCTGGTACACAATTATTTCTTGTTTAGCTCTTTTGGCTATGAGATGCTAACTGCTCTTTCCCTCCCTCAGGTATATTGTGATGTCAGGAACCCCAGAGAAAATTTTAGAGCACTTTCTAGAAACTATGCGCCTTGAAGCAACTTTAAATGAAGCAACAGGTATCTACATGCCAGAAGCTGTTTTATTATTACTCCATAAGATGGATTTGCTGTGGGAACACTGCTTTGAAAAGCCCCTGTAGTGGTGGTTTTTCCCAGAAGAACTGTCTGCTGCTCTGAAACAACCCCAAGAGAATTAAGGAAATCCAGAATTAAAAATAGCAATCCACTTTTCCAAGCCTGCTCTATTGTGTTTGTACTTTAAGATATAGTAGAACAGCAGAATCCTCTAAGGTGCCAGACCAACACTTATGACTTTAATTAGGCACAACCATAAGGCCTGGACAGAGCACCCCATTAGTAATGGTACTCCTTGTTCTGGAGGTCACTGTGAAATAGCGTGGTACCTCCAGACATTACACTGTGCTAGTATAAGTATTCTCAGATCTTCACATCACATTTAAAGTATCAAAATTAAATTTTGTGTTTGTGATATTTTCCTATATGCAGGGAAAAAATAATTGTTACTCAAAGGTGGACTTGGCACAGCATGGGCCAAGTCCCAGGAATGCAGGTTGCTGCATCTGCACTTAATGGGCTGCTTTTCATTAGTGTAAAGAGACAATTTACATCTAGGGATATAGGTATTTGCAGACTTACATTTTAGTAAGTATTTTCATTTTTGAAGAGTCAGACACAAAAAATTCTCATAATTCTGATAAAGTAATGCATAGACGTATATTAAACTATGTAACATTGCTTTGGCAAGTTCTATTTGCACTATAAATGTCTACTAAGTATATATTTAAAAGTGTTCTTAAATCCAGTTAATCTATTATTGACCTCATAGTATTGGAGAAACCTGTATAGTGGTCCATAAATGTGGAATTAGTGAAAAATTACAGAAATCTTTTAAAAGGTACATTTTCACTACTTTAAAGACAGAAATAAAAGGGATCCTTTTCATAGATACCTGTTAGCTAGAATTGCAAGCAGAATATTGTTCTTCAGGCTTGCAGCCATATAATCACAAGTTTGCCATCTGCAGTATGCATGTATTATATATTTTGCAAAACAAATAATTTTTAAAATATTTTAAAAATTTTTGCCAAAGCATCTAGTGACAAGATTGTACCTATATCCCAATACAATATAATGTGTCACAATTCATGAAGTTAATTTTAGGATATAGGATCACAGAATGCTGGAAAACTGAATTTATTGTTTATGCATTCCTTTAATTTAAGAGTATTTAAAAACCAATTTGCTCTTGGTATTACATTGAAAAAGTGTTGCCTTTCCAGAGGTGAGTTTTTCAACTGAGAGATAGGAAGTGGAAGCAATGATGTAATATTATATTGCACAATTGTCTTCATGTTTCTTCTGCCATTCCTTACAATGTTTGTAAATGTTTCTGTTATCTCAAAAGGTGCACTGTAGAAATAATGTCCTGTGGTATTGTGTTCACTGTTTCTCAGTGATTCCATATAAGCCTGCCAAACTCACTCTGGCCTCTGCAGCCAGGCTTTATAAATCCTTCTTGTTGTAACAAATACAAAGATAAGGCAAACTGGGATTTACACCAGCACTACCACAGAAAAAATAGCGTGCTGGGTTTTGCCAGAGAAAATGTCAGTCATATTGTTCATATAAATTTTAATGTAAATGTAGCAGGTGTGATACCTTTGAATCAAAATAAGCCCAGAAATTTGACTGACCATTTACCTCTTTTAAGCATTCTACTCAGTGCTAGGAAATCAGCAAAGAATTAAATTATTTGCCTTTTCCTGTGTAGGCCATACTAAGTGTGCTGCCTGGCATTGTAACTGCTTAAGCTCTTTTTAGGTGTGAAAGGCCTAATTCTTCCTTGCCTAGAACTCCACACTTGTAGAGAAGTATATCCCAATATTTCACTTCAGCACAGATGCGGGGCTTTTTGCTGTGCCAGATTTCTCTTTGACACTGGCAAATGTCTGTTAACAATAAAATTAATGCAATAAAATTCATGCAGCAAGACTAAAAGATAAATATTTTAGCTCATATTTGTTCATTACCCTTTTTTGTACCTAATGCCTGCAAAGAAAGTGCAAAAAGACCACTTTATTATCTGCAGAGGGCTCAAAAGGTAGTTCAGGTGAAAGAAAACTCATCCTTGACACCCCCAAGCTGTTTGCAGAGGCTTAATTGACTGTTTTCTTTCTCTTTTTTTTTTCCACAGATTCTGTTTTAAATGATTTTATTATGATGCACTGTGTTTTTATGCCAAATAGTCAGCTCTGCCCAGCCTTGATGGCACAATATCCTTTTTTAAGAGAAAAGTTAAGTCTCTTTAGCCACTATACCTATCAGTGACAAAAGTGAAGCTTCCCTCTCTCAAGAAGTACATCATGTCCCATGGAGGCTGTGCCTTGTGAGTAGATTCTCAGTGTCTGACTAGCAGCTGTCCATAGCTCAACAACTCTGAAATGGATACTGATGAGATACCCATGATGAGATACAGTACAGACCATGAAAACTCTGCATTTCCTGTGCTGATTACTGTTCCAAGGGAAATAAACGTACTGTCCCTCCACCAAATAAGTAAAATTACATAAAAGTTTGAGTTCCTCTTCCTGTATCTTTCCTGTCTTTCTTGGGTTTTGCTGCACTACAGCATCTACATTTTAACTGGGATAGTTATGGCTTAGTGATTTCAGTGGTCCACTTTACAGATTGCAAACTGTGAACTGCCTGTAGCAAGAGGCTGCCCGAACTTGTAGACCAGTGGGTAGGTAGTTCCTAGGCACTGTCATAAGTGTTACGAAAAAGTAGTAATAATCTGTAATAATAGTCTATAGCAAATGCAAACAAACTGCAAGAAACTTCAATTGGATGTGACTACTAGGAGATGAAATCGTAATAGTGGAGAGCATTGAGAGCTGGGGGTGCTTCTTGTCCTCTGCATGCTTCACAGGAGTCTGAGAAATGTCCATCTGTCAATTACTGGCAGATGGTTTAGTTTGAGGAGCTGTTGGACACAGAGAGTTTTCCTTGTGCACAGTGACATGAAGCTATCAAGTGACTGAGAACATTAAATAAACATATAATGTTTTCTGATTTATAGAATTCTGACAGGGGTATAATAACAACTTCAGCTTCCTATTTTTTTTGGTTTTTTTAATCGCAATGGTGTGAAAGTGCTTTCCTTCAAGCTCAGTGGGGCGAGTGACATCTGGGAAAGCTCACCTCCTGAAACCACAAAATAGAGCATTGTGTCCTTGTCTGGCAAGCTTGAGAATCCATTTGTGTTACTCCTAGCGAGGAGAGTAATTGTTTTGAAAACCTTTGGACCCATGAAACTGCTCTGTAGAAGATTGTTCGCACATCTGAAACAAACACATTTTCCAAAATCACATTGTTTTGGATATCAAAAATATTATGAAATGCTGTTGCTGACAGCATTGAGAGGGGAAGAAAGGGCAGCACTTTTAATGTTTGGGGATTTTTGTCCTGATTCACTTAGCTCATATTATTCAGTCAGTCCATTTGAGATTCAGGCTTCTCTGTCCTCAGTTATAATTGAATACCTCTATCCAACAACTGGGAAAATGAGACCCATAAGCAAAATGTACCTCATGCTTTACAGAGGAAAAGCTTTTCTAGTAATCAAAGTTAAGGATAATCACACTTAAGGATAAATACTCACTTGTGATTAAATCTGTTCTGGAGAGGATGCTAAGACCATGGACTTCAGTGGGTCATGGCAAGCATCATGTTAATTCTTTTCAGAGAGGAGCTGGAAGTAACTGGTGTCCTACTGCTTTAGTGTTAGCTTTCCTGGAGCTGAATTATTATTTATTTGGTCCATTCTGAATATGGAAAAGCTAACTGTGCTTTGTTGATTGTACCATTGAAATTTATTGTTAGAGTTGAAAGGTTCCTAACAAAGCTCATCTTTTTGGAGCAAAATCACTGGCTACAAAAGTGTTCACCAGTGCTGTGAGTCTAAGGAGAGATTAGTTATGCTCAATGAGGAAATTAAAACAGAAAAAGAAGACAAGTTGATTCAGTCGGCAACTTTTTGCTTCAGCTCCCAATTTTGAATCAAAACAAGTCTATTTTCCTTCACCCACTTAGGATACTATTTTAGCTGGCAGCATGCAAGTATGAGTAGAGCTAGACCACTGAAGTGCTTTCAAGCACAATACAGAGTATAAATTATTTGGGTTTTCACTTCTTTTACAGCAGTAATTTGTAAGTTATTTTAATCCTGAAAGGAATGGACAGGTGCACCATTTTGTCCAAGTAACATTATTGCTTGCTGTGGATTCCATGCTTATTCTGTGCTGTCCTTTGGCACACCAAGTCTTTTTCAGTTATTAAAGAATATCAATTCTGCAATATTAAAAAAATCACTTCTGTTTTATAGGGAAGTAAAGCATGCTCCCCTGTCCTGGATCAGGATATAAGTCCTGTGTTTTGAACCAAGGCTCCTTTTTCCCTCTTCTTCACAGAACAGAAGTGGATAAACTCTCAGAGCTACAGCTTGTCAGAGGGAGGCAGGACAAGGCCTGAAAGAAAACCTGAAACAGAGCAGCAACTCCAAAAGTGACCTTGGGTTAGTGCGAGTGTGTAAGCATGTGTGCAGGGGTGCACCTTTCAAGGACCACTGTCTAAATACTTAGGAAGTATAAGCTCCTCTTTTGCTCTCTGTAGATGATAGTTCTTCAGCACATTTCTGCTTCACCATCGTGCCACCAAAAACTTTGCATTCTGTTGTAGCAATGATCTTGCACTGCTCCTGGCGTAGCTGGGTCTTCCTGTACAGGGAAGAACAGCCTTCAGAATTGCTTCAAGTTCTTAGCATATGCTAGGGAAAATTAGAAATATATTGAGCTCTTACCATATTGGTGTTGATAAATATTTTGCAATTATCTGACACTTGTTGCAAGTATACATCACAGTTTATTTCAGATTGCAATCTGTAGTGACGCTGCATCCTGAAGATCACATAAAAATGTGAGAACCCTTCGTTGAATTTCCCTGTGATAATGTTAATAAAAATCAATGCAAATGAGCAGTAAAAATACAGAAAAATTACTAGTGCCTGTGGTGAGTCAGTTAATAAGAAAGGAAAAATACATTAAATAATTATAGTGTTTGAAAGGTAAATATGGCATGAGAAAAATGACTCAGTAGAATATTAAACTTGCTCCCCAAGCCATTGCAGCACATAACTTACAATGAATTATTTACTTCTTATGACCTTCTGACTTACTTTCTGCCTTAATTATACTGTCGTGTTCAGTTTTCTACTAATTTTAAACCTTTCCAAATGAAATTAAAATGCAGATTTCTGAAAGTTTGTCAGTCAAATGAGTGCCCCAGTAACCTTCATACAGAATTTAAAATCTCTGCAAGGGCTTTGGGCCATAGGATCGTTTCAAAGTGTGATTTAATAGGTAATTTTCCCCATTGCATTTTGTTTATAGTATTGTTAGAGAAATTTTTCTAAATTAGAAGCTTAGAATAAATATCTTATATCATTTGTATTCCTCATTAATAATTTTATTTTTCTAATTAGTATTTTAAAATATTTTGGTACAGCACCTGAAGGTGCATCTTGAAAGGATGCAAGGATGCTGGACATGGCTGTGAGGGAGTATGTCAGTATTTTAATGTTACATGTTATTATGTAATTGTGAATAGCATTACTCAAGGCAGTCCAGAATCAGAATTCCAGTAACTGGGAAGCAAAGTTGAAGATGTAACTGGACTCATTTGGTGCTTACTTTCCACTCAGCTGTCAGTTTATTTGAACAGTTGAAATATATATTGTTAACCTTTTTTCAGTGAAAAATAGACACACAAATTGTCATATCCTGTTTATTCTGGAGATACTTCATTATGACATGTTAAAGGCCCAAATTATCTCAATATTACCCATTGTGCCTTTACATTTTTTCTTTTTTTTTTTTTTTCTTTCACTAAATGTTATTTTTGGCCTTTAAGCTATTTGTCTATTTTTGTAATGTTGACACTTTGCCTTTAAAAAGGTCAATGAAATGTTCTCAATTTTTTCTTATTGTTCATCAAAAAACAACTTTCACAAAGTATTATGTTCAAAATACACTTTATTTGACATAGTGGAAATGTCTGATTTCCTCATGACAATGAGGTTCCTACCAAATTTATTATTTTACCCTGTGTTTCTATAGTCAGTTTAGGCTGTAAATGTCAAAGTCCCCCTCCCTTAATGGGCCTGAGATTCATTTTGAGTTGCAATAACTTGTAAAAAACAAAAGGAATAACACTGGTGGTTCATTCTGGTAGTCTTCCTCACAAATGGAAAATTGGAATTGTTAATAAACACAAAGTGACATTTTTCTTTTGCTTCAACTGTCTCTGAAGAGGAACAGAGAAATATCCTTCTTCAGCCTCCATGGTTAATCCTCTTTGTTGTACCAAGTGTCATTTCTGTTCTGTTCCCCTACTGCAACCATCTCTGTGGTGGAACTGTGATCCCTCCTGTGCTCTTCAGAAAATTCACTTTCATTTTACTTTTTAGTATTAACATGAAAAGTTTGCAAATTGTTATGCTAGTGGATGTTAGAATTTAGAAGTGTATATTGGAAAGTTACGTTTGGGCACCCTGAAAGTGTTTTGTTGGAAGTCAGTTGCTCGTGAATTCATACTGGGTTTGATATTTTCAATCACTCATGTTTTCCTTGACACTGGGGCACCTATCATGCCCAGCCTTCTCAGGGTACAGAGCAGGAGAAAATGGATTATGCCCTCAACAATAAAAGGCGAGTCATTCGACTGGTTCTGCAGTGGGCCGCATTATATGGAGATTTACTGCAAGAAGATGAAGCAGCAATGGCCTTTTTGGAGGTATAAAGGAGTCATTGTATCACTGAAGTGAAAGAGATCATTTCAAAGTGCAAAGTTAATTTCATTTTATGATCAGTTTGGCTGCAGACAGTAAAGGCACCACAACAGTGTTTGAACCACTGCCAGCCTCTGGACCTCTGAAAATAGTGTTGCAGATCCCTTTCAAAGCACTGCATGAGTACCTTGTGTTATAGCAGTGGCTGAATTTGCTTTTTCCAGTATTTTCTTCTGCATGGTTCAGGGGCTCTACAGCTTGAACTGGAGGGCTGTTTATGCCTGCTTGAGGTGTGCCAGGCAGGAGCTGGAGGGCTGCCACTCTACAGAACCAAAATTCCTTTTCATTTGAATGAAAGCTGTACTGCAGCTATTGGAACTTAAGATCTTTGTTTTCACAACCCTTGTAAATGCTTTGAGGTAGCTGCCATATCCTTGGATTTTTAAGATAAGAATGCCAATGTAATGTTAAATGATTGGGATTGCCATTCTTATTATATATGGTGTTTATGGAACAGAATCCCATATGTTACTGGCTGAATGAAAGTTCTTGTTCTAAAGAGCTTAAAACTGAATCTAACATTTAGCAGAGTGGAACAGAGAGGGGCTTTAAGAGTTGTAGACCCCCCATATGGGAAAGCTTTTCAAGCTTTGGAGATGACACAGACTTTCATTAGTGCAGAAGTTAAAGAACGATCACTAGTTGCAAGCACAGAGATCCTTCTTAGGGACAGTTTTATGTAGATATAACAGGAAGAGATTTGAGGAGGGTTTAAAAGTGGGTAATACTGTAATGGATTAGAGTAGCTCAGACTCAGTGACTCAGGAGCAAATCAAGCACTAAAGACTACAACAGCAATGAATAAAAAAACCTACCATGCTAGATTATTTTTGGATTTTTTAGGCTTTATCCTTGACAGTGTGAAAATGCAGGTTTTACACAGGCAGCCAGTGGTTACAGAGTGAGCTAAGGAACCTCATCAAACTTCCCTTCTGCATGTATAACTCTTGCTTTAAATCAGCTGGAGGTAAACAAGTAGAAGTAATAGAGGGTTGGGCCCAGCATGTGTTCCTCTATGCAGATTATCATTCTTTACAATCATTAAGCTATTAGATGTCATCTCATAATCCTCTCTCCTGAGTACTACTCATTTACCCTATAGTTATTTAAAGACTATTCTGTATCATTTACAGGAATTTTATGTATCTGTATCAGATGATACCAGAATGATTGCAGCACTAAAGGAGCAACTTCCAGAGCTAGAGAAAATTGTAAAGCAAATGTAAGCATAGTTTTTGATTTTTTTCCTTCCCCTGCCCTTTTCCTCAGTAAATTGATGAAGAAAATTTATTGGTTTTATCTATTAAAAAGCCATTTTGTGAGTGACACTCAGTTATATGAAATTGAAAGTTTGCATGCAAGCTTATTTGAATTATTGTCTATGGCCCCCTTTTCCACATCATTCTTACAAACACCATACCCTCACTGAGAGATTGACAGAAGCTTATTTCCTGCTTACATGAACTTTGTATAATATTTTTTCTTCCTTGGTCATAGATTAACTGTGGTATCATTTAGTCTTTTCATATGTAAATAAGATTATATTGATATGCTAGTTTGACAAGTGGTCCATGTTCTATAGGTGATTTTGTACACAAAATCTTCCAGGCAATATTTCATTGCATATGAAATATTCATACAGCATATTCTATCCTTTATCTTTTTATAGTTCTGAAGAACCTAAAGCACCACAAAAGAAGGTAAGAAAATTTATTTGTTCATTTTCTCAAGTAAAATCTTAAGCAAGCAAATTCATAAGCATCTTCTCTTTAGTAGTCACGGATATATTAAAAAAAACACATTGAGAGATAGCTTTTAACATTGTCAGATTTCGCATTGCTACTCTTATACCTGCCATTGGATGCAAGGGATGTATTGTAGTTCATGTGTACCACATGTTTATTCTTGCATTAATGTGAGTATCAATGATTCATTTTCAGCACAAAGTTCTTCTGCAGCTGTTCAACACCAGTGATGACAGAGCACAGAAACGTCAGCCTATCAGGGGCAGTGATGAAGGTGAGTTTCTTCTCTGCTAAGTTTTCTTGAGCCACTGACATCTATATAAATTTGTATGTCTCAAAAAAAGGTCTAAAAATAAATGAAAGTACCTACCTAGAATTTTGAAGCCTGGCCTGAAACAAACTCTCTTTTCTTTTGCTTGCCCACTCTTCTCTGTTGTTGGTTTGAGGCGCTCCTGGGGTTTTCCCTTAGAGTCTTGTGCTACCAAACACTGCTTCCTCAGAGGAAGATGTAAAAACCATTAAAACAAGGAGTGAACAAAACAGGGAAGAACCAATAAGACACTGTAGTGCAGGTAATGGCAGTGCAATAAAGAGTGGAAGCTGTAGGTCATGTTTGAGCCTCTGTCTCCCGTATGCAGTTAGAGCTAACATGTACAGCTGTTCTTTGCAAAGTAGGAGTGGAGCAGATAATCATGCCATGGACCATGGATCTAGAATCCGAGAATCTAGGCACGCAGCCTAAAAACCAAAATCTGCTGGTTTGCCCTGTTGGTGCTGTTTGATTCTCTGAAGAGATGAAGATAAAATTTACAGCAGTGTATGAGAATGTCATTTTCAGATTACTGATAAGGTACTCTTAATGGTTGTTTTGTGGAACTTCATCACCTAAACCAGCTGCTTCTTCAACATGTTTGATATTAAAGGATGGCTCTTGATAATGAACAGCAGTAAAAACAAGGTAACAAAATTCAAGGTCATGTAGCTGAGAAAGCTGGTGGCAGAAATCAGACCATTAGAAGAACCATGTTAAAATCTGGAACTAACTATATGAACAGCAGACATCCTGCCAGTCATGCAGCTTCTGTTGTCAATAGTGGTGTTTCTAGGCCTGCAAAGAGGGAAACAGTTCCTGCTGCCTGGGAAATACTGCCTCTTGTGTCTGTCCAGACAGGCAGTAACTGCTATTTCCATATAGCTGCACTTTCTCATTCATAGGACAGGCACTGTCCTGAACACTGAAAATCCAAAATCCAGAACTCTGAGAAATCAGAGATTTCTGTTCTAGAAATAGTAGAGCATCTGAGGAATGGGGAGCTATGTAGTGATTTATTGTTTCTTTGTTTCATTTTGTGAAGAGTGGTTACTGAAGTTAAAGTAATTTGTATGGTAAATGAGTTTTTTTTTTACATGTGGAATAAGCCGTGCAATGTTTTTTTTCTTTAGTTCTGTTTAAGGTGTACTGCATAGACCAAACCTACACCACTATCCGCGTGCCAGTGTCTTCTTCTGTGAAGGAAGTGATCAGTGCAGTAGCAGACAAGCTGGGCTCTGGAGAAGGCCTCATCATAGTAAAGATGAGTTCAGGAGGAGGTACTGTACTTACATCATCTTAAGCACTCCTCAGTTATGGTGAAGCCGAATTTTGGAGGGATTGAAAGACCAGTTCAGTCAAGGTTTTCTACCCATGTGCATGTTCAGCTGTCACACAAGTCCTAATGAGAGGCAAGTCCTTCCTCTACTGCAGCCACAGACTGCAGCTCACGTGGGACACAGGACCAGTGGAGAAGCTTGGGTATCTGCATGTTACAGAGCACAGCTACCTCGATTTTCCTTTGCTGTTCAACTTGTAAGAGTTTTTAACAACAGAAATAGGAGGCAAGTGTGGATAAATTCATACGAGACTCAAAATCGGTAATGTCAGAAAACACTGCAGTGCCAACATTCTGGCAGTGGTCACTACCATTTTGGCTGCTCTGTCTATGCAAACCATTGAAGAGCAACTTAGTGCAAAACACACAGACCTGGTGTTTGCAGAGGGTCAGGGATCAGGCCCCCCTCTAGGCTGTGGAAATGAGAGTCACTGGCTGGTGAATTCTGCTGGAGAATTGGTGTGGCTCAAGTGCTTTGGTTGAGTATGACTCTGTGGAGACACACAGAGGTAATGAGAGCTGCATTGGAAGGCATTTTTGCAAACAGTGGAGCCTGCCAAAAATGGCTCACTTCCTGAGAACTGACACCAGGCAGCTTTACTTTTTACAGTTGAAGCAATTTTTTGTCAGATTTGCTGACCACCAACATCTGCTGGAAGAGACTGTTTTGTAAGTTACTTCATTATCTTTTTTTACCTGTGGTATGATGCTATTTTAGAAATGTTGTGATGCATTTCCATCGCCTCCTTGAGCAGTTACTGCCTTCCAGAGCAATTTCTTTTAAGGACAGCTCTCCAAATGCTTACAGCGCAGCAATGAATGAATGGGCTCCCTAATTAAACTTAATTTTTGCAGGTAGTTTCTGGTGATAGCAGCACAGGCTTCTTGACCTGTCTGTACAGTTTGGGACTGGGATTCTGGTTGCATAGGAGACTGGTTTGGGCTGAGCTTACATTTCTTCAGTAAAGAGGATCTTGCTGTCTTCTGTATCCTGAATACTTGGCTTACTGGGCAAAATTTGTTCCCAGAAGGGTGATCTCTGCAGCTGGTAGATCAATCCTGCAGTAAATTGTACTTAATAATAATTTGTTTCATTTTTACAGAAAAGGTTGTGCTCAAGCCTCACGATGTTTCGGTGTTCACCACTCTGAGTGTTAATGGCCGGCTGTTTGCCTGCCCTCGGGATCAGTTCGATTCTTTGGTATGTATGTGTGCAGTGCTCAGGAATGGCAGGGCTTTGCTTTGTTTGAACACCTGGCCCTTTTTGCATTATCCACACTTCAGATAAAAACTAGTGGAAACATTCACAGTAAAGGGCTTGTCACACTGCAGTAGGATGAGCCCTGAAAATAAAACAAGCTGATGTTCTAATTCCCTAAAGTAGACCAGAAATCCATCCATCTGATCTGCATAACAGAACTTGATCCCAGTACTCTCTCTGTCACACTGAGCATTTAGGAAGAGCTGAGTATTGTCACCAAGACATGCAGTAATTCTTCATTACAGAATTATCTCCTCAAAGTCATATATATAAAGAGATATATTTTCTAGGATAAGTGTTATCAATTAAAGCATTCTGGAGATTTGATTCCAGCAGTAAATTCCTTATTTTTTTTTTTTTATTTCTCATCCCCACAAAATACTGTGTCAAAATCTGAGATAATTCTAAGTAGAATCACAGAAAATATTCCTGGTAGAAAGTCTGTTTTTTTCTTAGGTAGAATTGCTCATAAGTACTTACAGTTTATACAGTCATTCTAGCGATCTCCATGGGGTCTGCTTTTATAGAGTTTGATTTGACTGTACTTTTTGTTCCTTTTATTTCATTAAAAACAAATGTCATTGCCAAGTCATGTCAGCATGAACTCTATTACTCCTAGCCTTGTTTCAGCCTCCTGTATGCTTTTAACAAGCCACTTAGTATGTATGCCTGATTTCTTTTATGGATATGGTAAAATCTATTCTTTGCTGCTGCTTTCAATTTAGTAACCAGGGAATGCACATCCAGCATATGTAGTTCCATGCAGAGATACCTCTTGTTCAGCTTATTAAATTCTGGTGTTCCCTTAAGGTTAATTAATCCTGCCAAGTAGATACCCTCATGGGGCATGCTACTGTAAAGCAGGGGTGTTGCATCAGTAAAACTGTGCTGGGTACTTATTTATGGCTCTGCATTGTCTATGTACACATAGCTTTCACAGCAATTTGTCTTGGCTTTCTGTACCTTTTCCCTGTGCTATTTACCATGCATCAAGTACTCAAAGTGCTGCAGGGAGCTCTAAGATACAAGGCTGCAATGTGCTACTTTTCATCAACTAGACTGAATTCAGTAAGAATTACAGAAGTACATTCAGCACCTTAAAAATGGTCCTCAGCATTGCATAGCAAATTACAACCCCTTATCAGCTGCATTTTTTCAAAGAGGTATAAACAAATCAAAAAATGTTACAGCTTTAGCTGCCTCCCAGTTTAATCCTTTCGCATTCCAGTTTCTGGCTGCTTCCTGTTCCTGAACATTTATCCACATTATATTTGGCAATTCCCATGTGAAAATTGTTCTGGGTAGATGAATTTTCAAATATGCTCTTGAGTTTGCATGTAAGTGCTTCTTTCCCAGTCTTGGAAAATATGTGTTTGTTATGGTAACAGCTATGTTGTGATCATCTCCAAATGGGGGAAAAAAGAAGTCTTTCAATCTGCAGGCAGTTCTCTTTCCACAGATGTCCATAAGTTAGAATTTTCTACACAAAGCTGCTGTACTTTTATTTCATATGTTGTCATAAACTGAAGAAATGTTGTGTTTGTGCAAATCCCAATTCAAAGCAATCTGCAGTTTTTGGTAATATTAATTTTTTTAGAGAATACTTTTCTACTATTTTTTTAAATTATAGATGAAGCTTTTAAGGTGATAATGTTCATGATTTAGTTAAGTTTTTTTTAGTTAGTTGACGATGATAATTGAAAGTTTTTCCTAAGGTACAAAGCAAGAATTCACACAGCAGTAAAACCCCTACACACTGTGTGCTACTGAGAAAGTGATTTGATATATTAATCCAGTCAGACTTATTTCTGTTGCTAGTATATTACTCTTATATAAAATAGGATTCATTTAGTAGGCTCATTTCTTATATCGCAGCATCTAAATATGGTGTGTCAATGTGGCAGACTGCACTGAGTTTGTCCTGGGAAAGCAGCCCGCTGACAATGCCGTGCTCCATCATTCCGTGGTTAACAAAGGCGGTGAGGAGTTGGGACAGCGGCGTGTGAGCTCTGCCGCCCTCTCCCGGAGCAGGAGCGGGGACCGCGCGTCCGCGGCCGCCTCTGCGGGGCTTTCACCCTCCCGTGTGCCGGGGGTGGCTGGCAGCATCTTAGCAGCGCTGGTTCAGACACTTCACCCTGATATCTACAACTGGCTACTTCACATCTGACTTGATCTCAAGCCATATTTTAAATCTCTGTTTAATACTTCACCCGTGTGCAAAATCATAGGTCATGTCTCATTTATTGGGTGGCATGGAAGTGCCTTTCAGAAATGGTTTGTACTTGGTTCTTTCTCATCTTGGTTCTTTATCGTTTTAATCGGCCTAGCCAGCAATTTGCAATCACAAATTGTGCATCCAGTTTGTGTACTGTCAAAGAGGAAGTATGAGGTTTATTTTATAAACTATCAGAAGATCTTGCAATCACTGCAGATTTCTGAAGCATGCTAGATGTAGCAATTCTCATCATTAGGATCAGGAATGTGTAAAAGTATTTGGCTTGTCCTTGGTGGCCTAGTTATTTGTGTATGTGGAAAAGGGAACATAAAAGTTTTTTGGAAAGACCTATGCTCCTAAATAAACACACATGCTTTAGTTAGCACAACGTGTATTATAGATTCAGATTTTAGAACAATGTTAAAAATAACACACTGAGAACTGTATTATTTTCTTACAGGATCTCTGAAGAACTTTCAGAGTTTTCCTGACTATCCTGTGCATACTGGATACTGGTTTTGCTGATTTCCTAATACCTACCTGTGTTTACAAGCAAATTTCAGTTTTACTGCAATTTCAGTTTTACTATTAGAAACATGATTAAGAAAGTGGTCACACTGAAAAAAACCTTAGAAGTATTATGGAATGAAAGCACCAACCATATGATTTAGCATGTCTAAAATATTTTTATAATATTTCTTGTTTGTAGGCACCATTGCCAGAACAAGAAGGACCATCTACTGGTACAGTAGGAACATTTGAACTGATGAGTTCCAAAGACTTAGCACATCAGATGACAATTTACGACTGGGAGCTCTTCAACTGTGTACATGAGGTATGAGGATCTATCTGTTCATCCGGTTAGAATCTATTAAAAAGTGTTTAACAGTACATAATGCACAGGTTTGTGCATTATTTCCAAAACCTTCTCTAAGCTTGATTTTCCAAAATTCTACAATAAAGCCACCTACAAGTTTTGAAGGTTTTAAGACATTCTTAATTTTATAGGCAAAATAGAAAAATAAAGTTAGACTTCGTCTGGACATATGCTGCTTGTTGAATTACTTTTGTTTGTTTTAAGGTATTAAGCTGTTTATATATAATCTGTAGTTACGCTTTTACTATGCCTCAGCTATTGTATACTGGATTTGTAACCTGAATCCTTGTCATCTGTGCAGCTATAAATGTAAACTGAACTGCAAAGCAAATTTCAGGCTAGATACATACCTGGTCAGTCTTGGTCTCTGTCCTTGAAGAAACACAACTTCAAAAAGAATTCCAAACTATTTTCTCTTTCCAGCTGGAATTGATCTATCACACTTTTGGAAGGCACAATTTTAAAAAGACCACAGCAAATCTGGACTTGTTTTTAAGAAGATTCAATGAAATTCAGTTCTGGGTGGTCACCGAGATTTGTCTTTGCTCTCAACTCAGCAAGCGTGTTCAGCTGTTAAAGAAATACATTAAGATAGCAGCCCAGTAAGTATGCAATCATGTGGGAGCTGGAAGTGAGGTTCAGTATAGTCAATGTGGTTTTATTTCCTCTTTTCAGACAGCCACAAAGAGTAGAGGTTAAAACATTCTCTATTTGATTATTCTGTCTGTTTTCTTATAGGGCTGTATAGAACCTTGTTAATACATATTCTTTCTTGTCCTACTGTCCATTGCTTCTTGATCTGTGATCTCTTAGGGCCATGTTTACACATGAAATTTGTGAGAAAATATATTTCAGTTCATTAGGAGAATCCTTCATTTACCCTTCCATACATTAGCAAATATTACTTTGTGAATTAGTAAATATTAACAAAATTCAGCCCAATTTTCCTGAGAACACAAATGTTTCTGGTTCTGCTCAGGAGAACCATTCTCAGAATTGCCCTGAGTGGGAAAACCAAGAGGGGAGAGTAAGGAGATGTAGCATGGAGATGATAACACTCATGTTACTTTCATTCTGTTTGGGATTTCCAGCAAGTTTGCTGATGATACAAAGTGTAGGGTCCTGCACCTGGGGAAGAGGAGCCCCAAGAAGCAGCACAGATTGGGGGCTGACCTACTAAGGAATAGCTCTGCAGAGAGGGACTGGAACTGTTGGTAGATGACAAGGTGACCATGAGCCAGCAGTGGGCCCTGGGGGCCAGTGGGATCATGGGTGCACCGGGAAAAGTGTGGCCAGCAAGTCAAGGGAGGTGTTCCTCCTGCTCTATTCAGCCCTGGGGAGGCCACATCTGGAATGCTGTGCCCAGTTCTGGGCTCTTCAGCACAAGAGAGACAAGGGGCTACTGGAGAGGGTCCAGTGGAGGCCACAGAGATGATATGGGGTCTGGAGCATCTCTCATAGGAGGAGAGCGCGCAGGAGCGGGGCCTGGGTAGTCTAGAGAAAAGTAGACTGAGAGGAGATCTCATCCATACATTCAAATATCTTGAAGAGTGATGCCAAAAGAAGTTCCAGACCCTTTTCAGTGGTGTCCAGTGACAGGATGAGGAGCAAGGGCCTTAAACTAAAACACAAGGACTTTCACCTCAGCATGAGGAATAACTTTATGTTGAGGGTGGCAGAGCACTGGAACAGGCTGCCTAGGGAGTTCGTGGAGTCTCCCTGTCCATAGAGACATTCAAAATCCAGCTGGACACAGTCCTGTGTCACCTGCTCCAGATGACCCTGCCTTGGCAAGGGGGTAGGACCAGATGATCTCCAGAGGTCCCCTCCAACCTAGCGCAAGGCCTAACAATTCTGTGATTCTGTGATTTTTTTTTTCTCACACATTTAAAATGCAATATATGAATGTCCTCTCTTGTTACTAACTGCTGGGTCTGAGGTTGGATAGCAGGCATTCTTTCTGTCTTCCTGTATTGCTATCCAAATTTAAACTGTTTGGAACCTTCATGCCAGAGATGTCAGCCTTGACTCCCTAAACTCAAGAGCAAAGCAGTGACTGACTTCATAGGGAGCAGAGGTATATCCATGCCCTGCATGGGTACAGATTTTTATTATTGTTACACTCTCCCTCCCTTTCCAGCTCATGGTGTATTTAATGATGTCTGAAAAACAGTTTGCTGAGGTTTGTAGTGTTTCTTTACAGCTCTGGGCATTGTAGCTAGAAGCCTTTAGGCAGTTCTACCAACAGAGATGTTGTTACTTGCAGTTGAACCAAGGTTTCAACTTTTTTGCATTGTTACGTGAAGTTGTGTAAAGGAAAAGATTACTATTGCTTCCGTGATGCTGCCCTCCTCCCAGTTAGTAACTGCACACCGCTGAAGTGTTCACATCAAAACTGGGGATCAGTGTGGCTCCTTCCTCCAGGACACCCTGCTCTGCAAGTACCAGCTTCCTTCTGGGATCTACTTTGGGCCCTGCAGTTGGATTACGGCTGGTCAAAGCTGTAGGTTTTAAAAATCTGGTGGTGGGCATGCAGGATCAGTTTTATATTTAGAACAGAGGACAGAATTTACCTCTTTGGTTTCTAAAAATACACGCAGCACATATTCCATTATCTCACTGCACAGCCCAGGAGTGGGAAGCAGCAGCCGGCCTGGCGGGCTGTGCCCAGGAGAGGGCAGTGGCACCCACACAGACGTCGGGGTCTTTCCTAATCTCAGGCATGAAACGAGAATATGTTGAAATGTGGTCATTAAGATACAATAGTAATTTCCATAAACACTTGAAATCAAGTATCCTAAAAATTACAGTTAAATATCTCCTTAATAAACTGCCCTAGCCTGTGAGTTCCTCCGAGTCATGGGTTTAATCTTGTGCTATTTACAACAGCCTGACAACCTCCTGTTTACTTCCATGTTTCTGGTATCACTACAACGCTAAAAATAAATAGCTAAAAGCAGTGTGCTCTGCTGGGTTCTCTTTGTCTCCGAAAAGCAGAGAAATCCAAAGCACAAGATTTTCCTCTGTACAAACCAAGAGGGCAGGTTTAATTCCAGCTGCTGGAAAGGCACTGGGAAGTTTTGCCAGGCTGCTGCCCTCTGTGCAGTGCTGCCATGGTAACAGCTGCTACACATGCACTAAAACAAACACAAAGTGCACCGAAGTTAGAGAGGAGAAAAAGCCCAGACCTTGAAGCAATATCTTTGAGGAAGTTTTGCCTGTGAAGATCCTTGAGACCTAATGAGAACTTTACCCTACCTAGAAGTACTAGACTCATTAGAAAGTGTTCAGGGAGAACAGCTCAGTGCTGCACTATTAATCTTAGGCATGACTGGTGGTAACGAGATGCCTTGCACGTACTCATTTTCAAAGATAACTGCTACTGAGAAGCTTTTTTCAGTTCTGTGGCTTGAGGTGCAGATATCATTGCAGAAGGCACATCATTTTGTGTCTGCCACCCCATGCACCCTTGATGTGTGCTCCCAGTCTGTGCAGGCAAGCGCAAGGCCAAGTGCTGGCTCCAAGTGCTGTGCACATGTGCTTTCAGTTCCAGGAGCCAGTGTCGCTTTAGCATCTGTTGGAAAAGGATGTAGAGGTTACCAGGTTCATCTCTTTTCTCCAGCTATTGTAGGAATAAAGTTTCAAACAAAGGGAAGAAGTGAACTGTATTTCCAACAGTGAGTTCTTCCCATATTAATTGTATAAGAAAGTCCTTCTGGGATGTGCTTGCACATGCTCTTAATGGATATCTGCAAATGCAGTTTGTGTGTATTTCCTCTTTGCAGATATATCCACAGGCTATTTAGCAGCCTTCTTGTGTATCAGTGTACTCAGACACTTTCATTCAGTTTTTGAAAATCATTCTTTCTGTACATGTGCATATGTTATAAGCCCAAGGAGCCTGTGAGAAATCTCTGAAATGTGTGTTTATAGAGAAAATGGCAAGATGAATATGCTTGTGTAAGTACAAAGAGACTTTAACCACATGCATGTTTGTTTTGGAGACCAGAGTGTGTGTGTGTGTGTGTTTGCTATTCATCCTAATGGGAAGATGTTTCTGGTACAGTCCATTCTGTGAGGCAGAGGGACCTCTGCTCTGAGGTGGTGCTTTAGAGGATCCACTTTTTGACATTTTACATGGAGTTTATATGCAGTAGAGCAATGGAGCATTGTTTCTAGTGTCTTACAGGGGTCCTTTATCTGGAACTGAGCTATTTATTTTTACTGAGCTTGTAGAATTTACTGAATATCTGAGGTAGAACATTTTGTATCTGTATGGATTTTAACTGGGACTTCATCAAACTGTATTCCTTAACAGGGTATTTGGCAAAACATTTCCTTTTTAATATGAAGATACATTCAAATTAAATATTGCAGATACAGTTGCAGCTGCCTACTTTGTTTGAGCACTAGTGCTGTGTGTTGCTAATTATTTTACCCTGCCATAATTTTGTCATAGGCTGTGGACAGATATCTCTTTATGGATTTACTTGTGCCTAGGGAAGAGGTTATCACTGACAGCCCATCCTGTCTGCTTTTCATCTTTATCTCCCCTCAGATCCACTAATGAGGCACTCCCTGACCTGGACTAGTAGATTAAGTTGGTGTAGCTTTAGCATTTCAGTTTATCCGTTCTACCCTTGCTCACTGTCGCTAATCTGATGTGGGAGAATTTGTATGAGCAGCTCTGCCAGAAGATCTGAGAAGGCATCAATCTCCCAACAGACAAACCAGCATATGGGAGAGATCATCTATTCACATGCTCAGTGTTCACACGATGCAGACACAAGTGAGGCCAAGATCTCAAGGACTCACTTGCTCAATACATCCATATCTGGTAAAATGGAGGTACAGAAAGAATAGAATGGTATGGATGATGGAGAATAGGATGATGTGGCAATTATGAGGTCAGTAGGATGAGATGATTGTACTAATTTTGTCTGAAGCTAAGGATACCTCAGAGAAGCTAAGAGCTTCAATAATGAATTTAAAATATGAGAATCATAGATTGAATCTTGTTAAAGTTTTCTTGGTAAATCACAGAATCCTAGAATAGTTTGGGTTGGAAAGGACCATAAAGATCATTGAGTTCCAACCCCCTTGCCATGGGCAGGAACACCTTCTACTAGACCAACTTGCTTAAAGCCCCATCCAACCTGGTCTTGGTCCCTTCCAGGAATGGGGGAGCCACAACTTCTCTGGGCAGGCTGTTCAGTGTCTCACCACATCAGTGCCCTCCTTTGCACTCACTCCAGCAGATCCATGTCCTTCATATGCTGGAGTTCCAGAGCTGCTGGACACAGCTCTGCAGGTGGGTTCTCACAAGAACAGAAGGGGAGAGCCACCTCCCTTGGCCTATTGAGTCAGTGAGCCACTGATGCAGACCCAGCTGAGCAGTTGTGTTGACTATGCCCATCAGATTGTATCTACTCCTTCATATGACATGTTGGGATCTTCCATAGCACTCAATTACATGTTCCAGTTTTTCCTGACTGATAGCAAAATCCTTCTTTGCCTTAGAGATGGTGTGTGACCTGGAGCTCCTTTTGCCCAGGACCTCTTTAATGAAGCTGGTGACAAAGGGCTGCTCTTTTCCTGAAACATACTAGAAGTCCCAGAATCTATAATAGAAATCCTATACTGCAGGAGAGGTCGCTGGCATGGGGCATCTCTAGACAGCTGGTCTTCTCCCTTTAAAAAGACTCAGTGGCCCTGTAAACTGCAATGAAGATTGCCTAAAGAGAGCTTCAAGCATTCATTAGCTGTTCAGGAGCTGTCAGCAAGTTCTGCAGCAAATGAAGCTATAAACACTTGTTTGCACTGTTTCTGGTATCCCTTGGGAGTGAATTGAGCCCAAAGACTGTGTTTCTGGGTGGAGAATTGCTTCAAAGACTAGAAGTCCTTGCAGAAGCTGTCACCCAGTGAAGTAGAAGGAGGAAAGTCATTTTATGAGAGAAGGGAAAGAAGCCTCCAAAGTGTGGTGAAGTGCTAACACATTGGTGAAGAGGTGTGTGCAGGCATGCTGGCCAGGACTGCCTAAATTCAGTCACTTCTAAGCTAGATGTCTGGGTTCAGCTCTCTTAAGGTTGTCATAAGTACTGCACCGACTGATATATACAACTTAAAACCTGGTCCTTTGTGTTTCAGCTGTAAAGAATACAAAAATCTGAATTCCTTTTTTGCTATTATTATGGGACTGAGTAATGTTGCTGTGAGCCGTCTCTCATTAACCTGGGAGGTAAGTCTGCTAAAATCCTGTTCCAGGAAGCTTGAGGGGGACTTGTGCTTGTAGTTAGCAAAAATATGAATTGAGCCGTTATTATTGATAAAGCTAGATCTACTAATTCAGCTCCTGACCATAAGCCTTAGCTAAGGCTGGCAGTATTTATTAGTAAGGCAGTATAGTACACACATGGATGTGCTGAATACTCACAGGAGTTGACAAGAGTGACAACAGCAGATCCTATTGCTGAGCTAAACTGCCCAACAGGATGAGCAGGCTGGCCAGCTAACCTCTTAGATCAGCCCATCCTCTGTGTGCCTTCACTTCACTGATGGTTCAGTGAGATGACTCCACTGATAATTCTCTTAAATTCATCCTGTGCTTATACATATTATTTTCTGCTCTCCACAGGGACTCTGTTGCCCTGTTAAAATGTGGGTTTGTCCTAACCAGTTCTGGTTTTCTCTCTGACATGCATTTCCATGCGTACTGGCAGTTTGGTCTTCATTCTCAGAGCTTCCACCTTTTTCTGTGGCTTTGCTCTTTTGTATGAGTGTATAAGAAGGGTGCAGTGTCTAGCACAGTGTAACCACTAAGAACATGCTGGTTATCAAAAGCAGTACAGATTTAAATGTGCATGCATTTTGTTCATTAGAAATTCAGAATAATTAGCATGACTGAGGTTATTGATGCAACTGAGAGCAAAATTTGTACACCTTTAAAAATGTGCTCTTACATAGGAGATCAGACTAACATGTCTGAGAGTACACCAGTTCTGTTTTCAAAAGTACATGTATCATATAAAATCAGTGCTACAGGCAAAGATTTTCAGTTTCTCAAAATAATGACCCTTTATTTGTGGCTACTGAGAGGAGTTGGGAGAGCTGACACAGTACAGGACTGGTGAAGAAGGTATTGAATGCATATACTACATACAGCAATCTGAAATGGGGACCAAGTCTGAGCTGGTAGGGGGGCACAGATCATTTGTACATGTGGAGGGTTAACTTGAGATCATGGAAATTTTATCACACTCTGGTTCTGTAGAGCAGTTGGTTTAACAAGAGAATTTCTGCAATTTGATTTTTAGCCAGATATATACAGAAAATACGTAAAGACAAACAATACCAAGACCTGATTTTTTTTTTCTATATTATCATGCATTTACATTAGTTGCATGCAGAAATTAGATATTTGCAGGTGCAAATGTCCAATTATACCACTTATTTCACAAATACCTAATCTGCATGCATATGCAAACTAGGCACACAGTTGTTGACACACATCATTAAAAATTAGGCCCTTGCTGTGGCACAGTGTAAATAGCTTGCTAGGGTACACACTTCAAATGTAGAAATCATTGCAAAAAATCATTTCTGCACTATAAAGTCTCTATTAATTTTTAATGTTATCCACTGCTAATAGTAATCTGAAAAATTCAGATAGAAAAATACAGAGAAATGTTTTACTAAAAATAACTGATCTGTTCTGATGGTACATAAAAAATTACAGTGATCTTTGAAACCAATTTATAACATATCTTATTGTCTTTAAAGTAAAGTGATTTAATCTGTGTAACATACTATGCATGAGGGGGAAAGAAAGTATTTAGTAAAGCCCATCTCATCTCAATCATTGCATGATCAACTGACCATTATTTATTTGTGTAGGTATTGTGGACTGAAAAAATATTCATTAATTTGTACCCCAGAAAGTGATGGAGGACCTTTGCTGCTGAGCATGTCAAGACTTTTACTAATAAATGCATCAGCATGAGCAAAAAAAAAACTCCTGGAAATGCCCAGGCCTGAATATGAATGTTTGCAAGGGCAGTTCATCATAGGTATGAATAATTAAAATGATCTGCCCCTATGCAAGCTGGGTGTAAATTATATTTTCAGGTAGGCTATAAGCAGGGATGTCCTGAAGGCATTCACATGAATTCCCACTTACATTCTGAATTCAGTGATTGCTATGTGAGCCAAACAAAAATCTGAATCTAAACATCCCAAAGGACTAAATTCAAGTCGGGGTTTAAATCAGGATCCAGGTTTCATGGCTGGTCCCGTCTCTATTTTTAATCTGGTTGCTAGGAAACATGTTGTATTTTAGATTAGCACATTGTTAGAAATATCTGGCAAAAAAAGAGCACTTTCCTGACTTAGGGCGTTGTAGAAGGAACTAGCATTTACAGTAAAATTATCACACTGATCGGATTTAATTAAGGTTTGCTATTTTTGTTTTTATTAACAGAAACTCCCAAGCAAGTTCAAGAAGATCTATGCAGAGTTTGAAAGCTTAATGGTGAATAGCAATAGATCCCTTATTCTATGCACAATCTGAGATAATTGAGTTTCTGATTTGAATTCCTTGATTCAGAACATTTTATATGTCCTTGTTTGACTTTAAGAAGTTTATGATCCCATTTTAGAGCTGCTAAAACAAGTATGTATGACTAATAAATTATACTCTTAGGAACCTACTCTGAGAGAACTTATGTACCACTCAAAGTTAATCTGGGAACTCAGAAAAGCTTTATCATTTGTTTTCCAATAGTACACATGGGAAATTCTATTTCTCAACCTGGATTTTTCCAGGCAATACATTCTACCGCTACAACATATGCAAAATTGGATCTGCAGCTGTAAGGAGGGAGGAAAAAATATTATATAAATACTAATAAATTCTTCTTTTATGAAGAATGTTTTTGTAATCGTATCTAACCTAGCTATTTGGCGTGAAAAAATGTTTGTGTTTAGTGGTTGCATTCTCATTGTGTAACCAGTCAGGGAGAATGGTAAAAGGTGTGTGAATTTACAGATGCGCTTTTAAAGTCACAGGAAAAAATAGGTTTTAATAAATGCCATGACATCTAGATTAATGCATATAGTGTCTTGATACATATAATAATACATATTAGTAATTATTTGATTTCTCTTTTTTTTGTAAGGATCCATCAAGAAACCATAGGGCCTACAGACTAACTGTAGCTAAATTGGACCCTCCAATAATTCCTTTCATGCCACTGCTTATAAAAGGTAAGCTTGGATGTTACCAGAATTATTAACTTGAAAGCTATTTGTCAAATATCTGAAGGATAAGAGTAGCAGCAAGAAAAAGCAAAAATCAATCTCAGTGTGAGGTATGATCTTTTTCCATTATGAAAAGCACGATACAGAGACAAGACAAACTGCTTTTGTACATCTGAATATCATACCTCAATTTTATTAGTCTTAGAAATGCTGCAAATTAAAACCTATTTTTTTTACTTTTCAGCTGCTACAATTTTTGTAAGGGTAGATAAAACATTCTGCTATTTTGTATGGTCATGATTCAGAAATGGGCTTTTACGTGTTTTTTATTTCTATACAGACATGACGTTTACTCATGAGGGAAACAAGACATTCACTGACAATCTAGTAAACTTCGAAAAAATGGTATGTATGACATGTTTGAAAGGAAACTTAAAAATACCTCCCTATTCACCTCTTCAAGAGTGAACTTCTCAACAGTGACTTTCAGGGCTAGAGAGAATGAAGGCAGGACCAAGACCTGGCAAAAATAGCCTGCATTGTACACAGAGCCTGGGGCCTCTGATTTTCTGCAAAACCTCACAGAGGTGGAGAATAAACTGCCCACTGAGCCATGCACAGCCAAAATATTTCCTAGGAGAAGGAGCATCAGGGACAGGAAGCAGAGCTGTTAGAGACACTTTTTAACAGTTTGGGACCAACCTGTGATTTTAACTGCTGTTCCTTCAAACAGGCCTGAACTGCCTCAGGCTTGGGATAGTTCTGCATTGCTCCTTGGAGAATGAAAAAAGCACTGAAAAGAACTTGCACAACATATATTTCTTCTTTCCCTTCACAAAAGAAAAGAGGAGTCTGTGGCTTGATTGCTTTCCTACTGGAAAGGAGAATCAGTGATAAAAGGCTGGAGTATACTCAAATTTTATATAAGTCCTGCACCTAAGCTGTTATAATTTCAAACACCATTGTCAAAAATTGCAGGCAGGCGACTTTCCACTGCAGAAGTCTCAACTGAAACTTGAGTTTCTCAGCAGTGAGAAGACATTTTCTGGGTTGCTAAGGACATGTTCCTCATTAGTGTGGTTAATGACACCTGTATCTGAGAACCTGCGTTAGCCAAACCCAGCTATGGCATCTGCGTAGCAAAAACAAACCTGACTTACTGCTCTGGCAGTCAGTAGTAAAATCACAGAATCACTAAGGTTGGAAAAGATCTCCAGGATCCCTGAATCCAACTCTTAGCCCAGCACCACTGGGTTCCCCAGTAAACCTTGTCCCTGAGTACCACATCTACATGCTCTTTGAACATTTCCAGGCCTAGTGATTCCACTACTTTCCTGGGCAGCCTATTCCAATGCCTGTCCACCCTTAAAGTGAAGAAATTTTTTCTCATATCCAGTCCAAACCTCCCCTGGCACAACTTGAGGCCATTTCCTCTCAGCCATTCAGCAGCCATGCTAGAGCATATTTCCTCTGGCACCTACATGTGCTTGTTCTTACAAGTACAGTAATCAGAACCACTCCATTCCACTGGAGTTACATAACTCCAGTTATTTCCACTGCACTGTGGAGGCGTTTGTCTGACCCTCTGAGCACTGATAACTGCAGAGGGGAAAAGAGGAGTACTTTAAGCTCTTTAAAAAACTTCACAGAAAAGTGATCATCACTGAGTGAATTCTCTTAGATTTTAATCTGTAGCTCCAGGAGAGTCTCTGTCCTTGGTTGAAAAGATGAGACATTTTGTAAATAAATGGCAGTGCTAATGCCTGAGTAAGGGCCTGACCTCACTTTGCAATAATGGCATTCTGTAATTGCATATGCAGACTGTGTTGCCATCTCCTTCCAAAGGCCTTGAGCCTTCTACCTGCAGAAAAATACTTTTTTTCTGCACTGCCTGTTGTAATTAGGTATAGATATAACAGTACAGATAGTAAATACTTTGGGGAACACAGAAGGGATCTCAGACTTGGTTGGAACACCTCCAAACCAGAATGGATGGCAGTTGCATTGCTACAGCCATGGTTCTGTGGCTGGCTCCAACATCTCCACCTCACTTGGCCTGTTTACACCTCCTGAGCCAGAAGAGCCAGTACATCCACTGGCCTCAGAGCTCCGTGCTTCAACCTCTTTATGCCTCATTTTGTGTGAAAGCCATTACAGGAGGGAGGAGCTCTCCTGTAAGCACTTCCCATCGTTCAACACAGGCTTGTCATTTAAGAATAGTTCTGCACCACTCTGTACCACATTTTGGCACTCCCAAGGCCAAGAGTGAATCCTACAGCAGCTTAAACTGATCTTTATCTAAGATGCTGCAGGTCTGCCCTCTTTACCGTAGTCTGCTCATTGTCTTATCTTCATTACCTCCAGAAAAAGAGTTTACTAGTAGCACCCAAAAGTTTTAAATAATATTTTACACTGCAAGAATGTAGTACCAGTAATCTGAGTTTTGATCATTTTCATTAGGAGAGGAATGTGAAGATCAGTTAGTGTATTTTTGATGCTGCGTATTTTTTGCGGAATCAGTATTATGTCTCATTTTCTTCAACTCACCAGAAAGGGAAACATTCTCCTTTTTTAGTATTCTAAGCCTTTCTTCAGTTGGTATTCTACCTAAAAGCTCACTCTGCTTTTTCTCCAGGCCTTACTGCACGTATATCTTTCGTATCTTTATTGTTCTTCACTAGCTTTGCTGCATGCTTCTATGGTGCTTTTACTGCCTTTCTCAACCCGTAGCTGTTCACAGCAACCTATATTCAAATTCCACCCACATAATTCGTTCTAATCCTACTGTGGACCTGGCAGTTTTTAGCTTTTTGCATGTGTCATCAGGTCAAGCAAAGAAGAAAAGCCTACTGTTAAACCTCAGTCACTGCCGCCTACTTGCGTTAAGCTTAAAACTGTCATATCCACACATAATTGCCAGATATTAAACTGGGAAGACAAGACCACTCAGCCAGATACCACTCAGGTAAATTCTCCTCTCTTTTAAATAAGTATAAGCCCAAGGTGTTTTTGTGATGTTACTCTGCCATTTTCAGGAGAAAAGTAGGAACCGGATTTTTTCACAGGAATCATGCCCTGCCATTTGTTGTTTCTGTTTGTTCTGCTGCACGATGTTCTGTCCCAAGCAGATGGAGATTCCTTAGAGCATTGCTGGGACCCACTCTTCCTGATGTTTCTGAAACATTTTGGTTCTTTGCAAGATTGTTTCCATTTATGTTTGCTGAAGTTTATGAATAAAAATACCTGGGTAGTAGCCACTGGAGGAGGTGGGTCCCTCCGACTCCCATGTAAGCACGGTGATGAAACTGAGAACAGCCTCTGGCATTGCGTCTGCATTCTCACCACAGAGCCCTGATCCCGACAGCTGATGTGCTGCTGACAACTTTATTCCTGTAACTGGCAGCCAAAAGTAGAAGTTTGATCTAGTGGCATCTCTTCAGCTGAAACAGCTTCCTTTAAATCTTTCCTGTTTTGCAATGCTTCTGTTATTATTTATATTAAATGATGCATCTTAAAACATGCAGAAGCTGTCAGGCAGTGTCTGAGCCAGGAGCTCCCTGAGTGCCAGAAACAGCAAGGCCTGGTTTCCTAAACATTTGTGTTTCATGGCTGCTTGAGCTCTGCTCAGATCTCTCCTCGTGCCTGGGGCATGTGTTGTTTCTTCATGGCTGGGGAATTCTGTGTGAATAGGCTTTTGTCATAACATAGGAACTTGCACTACAGCCTTTTTCCTGAAGGAGACGAGAGGGCACTTACACAATCTTTCTCTTGTCCACAGCCATCTGTTTTCACAGAAAATTGGTAGGAGCTTTCTTGTGTTTGAAAACTCTGGGTTCTTTTTTCAAATTGAACAAAATTATCTAGAGAAGAAGGGAAAAACAGACAGATGGTGTTGAGCCACATTAGCCCAGTCTTTTTAAGCAACTCAAGCTAACAAAGAAAAAGACTGAGTCTATTTTTTCCTGCTACACTTTCCTATATATTGATCTTTTTGGTGGTGGAGTGACAGAACTGTGGTATTGGCAGTAGTAAGGGGACATCACTCTGCAGAGCATTGCTGAGCTTTACCTGCTCCTGCCTTTGTGACTGCCTGCTATTTCTTCCTCTTCCCCATCTCCTGATCCCCACAGATGCCTTATCTGGAGGAGGCTGTGAGGAGTGGGAGGACAGGGACACCTAGCCAGGGAAGAGAGTAACCATGTGTGGCAAAGCCACAGCAATGGGTAAAGAGGGAAGTTTGTAAACATAGCCATTTGGTTTGTACAAGACGTGGGTAAACAGTACTGAGCATGTCAGAAATAGGTATGCTCTTAGCCTTTGTATTTGCACTGTATTTGTGCTCTTTACTCATGCCAGTGCATGAAGCCTTAAAATCCAGCCTGGAAAATTTCATTTATGCATTTGTCAATAAGTAGGCAAAATTACTAAATTACTGGTCTTTGTAGTGTAAGTCTTTGGTAAAAGGCTTTGTCTTCAATAGCAAACAAGATATGGTTTAAGAGAAGTATTGAATGTATTTTAATTATCTCACTGCAAGAAGCTGATGGGGAGAGGCTGCAAGCTGTTTCCACCATGGTGTTGCTCAGATGTACATTTTAGTTTGGCATATATGACATGATACCAAACCACCACATCTCTTCTCCCCTAGTGACTTGACAGTACATGTTAGTTGTAAATGTGCTGTCAGAAGACTCATCTATGTAATAACTGAAGAGGTATTTATTACAGAGGAGCAAAACTTTTAAAGCTTTTTAAATACTGTAGTTTTAGTTTGGAAGGTGGGGAATGTTTTGAGAGCTCAAGTACATGAAAGATGCAAAGATGGCAGAAGGCTGCAAACACAATTAGTTTGTGACCTAGACCCTCTTCTCAGGTGAAGGCAAGCACCCAAATAGTACCAGTAGTAATAGCTCCTGTAAACTCTGTATGATTTAGCAATCATACAGAGTTTACACAAGAAAGCTCCTACCAATTTTCTGTGAAAACAGATGGCTGTGGACAAGAGAAAGATTGTGTAAGTGCCCTCTCGTCTGATAGAGGATAACCTACAACCTGCAGCACATGGCAATACATACCATTTAAGTGACACTGCTTTTATAGCTAAATATTTAGAAAAAATTTACAAGTGCTTTCCTAGAATTAGGTCTTGGCAGGGAAAGAAGACAGAGGAAAGTGAGGAAAGTACTGAGCACGACTGTCCTTAGGGACAGGCAGTATTTCATACTCTTGACCACTTACTGATTTTTTTTTTTTAAACCTCAGCTGCCTAATTGCACTCTGACTGCCAGTACAGAATTTTGTATTCATAGACAAAAGGAAGATGCAATTAATTAGGAACTTTATCAGTGCCATTTCTCAAATCATCAGAGAGCCTGAACAAAGATTACTTTCTGTGGCACCTTCTCCATATGACATTACCCAGCATTATCTCAGGAGTAACACCTGTAGAGGGAGCAGAAGTCAGGAAAAAGCTCTGAAAGTGCTGACCTGCCATGGCAGCACAAGATAGTGCCATGGTGCTGACCACTGATGCTTCTTTTTGTCAAGCCTCTTCACCCTTCAGGTGCAACAAGAGGATTAGAGAATTCGTGCATATTTGTTTTCAGGTTTTGTGGAGATGAACAAAAGGGAATTCACACTCTTATCCATATGCAAAAAAGGGGGCAAACATTCTTTAATTTTTGGAACATAAAGATTATGCAAAAAGTGTGTGACTAAAGCCCTTAGTAGTTTTCAATAGCATATATGAATATTTATAATATTTAGCAACCTGGCTTTGGAATGGATTAGAAGATAATGTGCTGGCCTGCTGCCACAATTCCAGACTGTAAAACTTGAAAGGGTATTGTTGTGTATACACAGCATGCTGGTAGTAGCCATTATTTTTTATATTATGCAGTTGATTCTATTTCAGAAAGATCCAAATTTAGGTTTGTATGGCTTTTTGATCGTGGTCTTGCTTAGCACTGTGAGTAAACATAGGTTAATCTTTGCAGGCATTGAGTAGAGGTAATCCTCTATTTGAAGAAAAACTGTAAGGAGCAGGCAATTAAACTTCCATCTGAACATTTTTTCTGTCCATATTTCTAGTTTTCTTGCATCAAAAGAAGACAATTTAACTTATCTACGAGAGTGGGGAAGGGAAATTTCACTTTGTTTCATAACCTGTTTTTCTGTTCACTTCGTACCTTACAAAGAGGAACTGTTAGGAGCTTAGACATTATGAGACAGTAGAACAGCACTTGGAAAAAAAGTAGTGTGAAAAGAGCTCTTCAAAGATACATAATGCTTCAGAATCTCCCCACTGGCTTGTGATGCTGTCTTTGGGCCACGTTTATTCAGCCTTAACACTCACTTCCTCATTGGTTTGTATTTCATCATTGCCAGGATAATTCTGAATGCAGAGATAGAATCACATCGCCCTCAGGAAAAGGCAAAGGAATCCTTTAAAATGAAGTCTTTCAGCCAACTGAAGGAATCCAGGCAGTTCAGCCTTTAACCAGAAGTCAGACAAGTCTCTTGCCACCTTCCATTTTTCCTTGCCTAGTAGAGCCCACATAATGGCAACTTTGAAAATAGCAAAAACTGTTTTGAAAACCTTCACTATACACCCATAATTTTTCTTTCAGTACAGAACTGCATTACAGTATTTATTCTGGATGTTCTGCTTTTTTTTGAGAACAAACTTCCCAGGAGAGAAAAAAGTAAAATTATTCCAAAGAACACTTTTTTGGATAAATCTCAGTTTTCACATATGAAGCTTAATAATAATAGCTCCAAAGATTATTATGAGATGAGGCTTCAAAACTTAAACACTTATAGGTATGAAAAATTAGGGTGTGTATTAACAATCCATCTAGAAAGCACATCAAGCAAAACTAGCTGTCTTCCTAAAAATGAATGTTCTTAGCAAGGCTTCCTTTGAAGCTAGACAGTCTTGAAACTTCATTGTGTTGGCTGGTGCAGTTCAACTTTATCATCTCTCCTTGAAACAGTTATTGTAGATGAGCATTTTTTGAACTGGTAGAAATCAAAATAGTAGCATCACATAACAGAGCCAAATATGAAGCCACAGAAATGTGAAACCATCATGTTTATATGTTTGTGTTGTTTTGACTTACATTTGATTGGGTTAGACTGAAAAACTGACACTGTTACATGCAGTGTGCTCTGTCTCAGCCCATTAACCCTGAGTATTTAAGAGGTTCCATTGAAGTCAGTGGAGTTTATTCACATGCTTAATGCTAAGCACCTGTGAGAATGTTTGCAAGGTAAGTGCCTTAGAGAATCTGCATAGTAATAGTGGCTTCAAGAGATATGAAAATTGCATTAGAATAAAATTTACACTTACTTGAATTTTACATGTAGATACATAGAACTTTAGGAACAACATAAGCAGATCCATATCCGGATTCCCTAGATCGTTTGGGAAAGTGTGTTTTAGAAATAGCATATTTTAGATCAGTTTCATTTGCTAATACAAGGTGTAATCCACAAACATTTAGGACATCATATATCAATAGTGTTTCTTACACCGACCAACCAACTCATTTTTGTGTGTGTGCTTGATAGTACTGAGATTATCCATTATGTGTGGAAGGAATGTCTTACATTGGTGCTTCCCGTTCTGGAATGAGAGAGTTCACAAACTTAGTTCATTTGTAACACTTTCATTTAAGATTATAATTGTGATTTCATTTAAGATTTTAATGAATTTAGAGGAGCATATGCCCCAGGCTTTCTTGTTCACTAGTAAGCGATATATAATTCCATTTTGTGAGAGTTTATGACTAACTAGCTTGTTAATCTCACACAAAATTTCCATCATGTATGAAGCAGCCTGGTGAGAGTGTACTGTGTTAGAAAATGTCGCTGTGTTGGAACACAGACATTAGAGTCTGATAGGGAGTAGCATTTCCTTCCTCTGCTTTTTCTTAACCTAAGCAAAAGAAACTGAAACAAATGTTGTCCTTATAACAGGGATTGAATCAAACTATCTAGCTAACTGCTGAAATTTCAGTTTATTTGGCATTATGTAGAACAACTAATTCTGCCCCATACTGGTGGGTATATTATTTCTGTGGCACTAATCACAGAAACCAGTTAAAATTCTACAGTCCAGAACTAATGTTTTGCTGTATGACTAACCATAATTTCTTTTCTTAAAATCTATTGTAAAATAACATCTGATTTATCACAGCAAGCGTATTGATTGAAACTGAATTGAATGAAATGATGGGGTTTTTTACTGAAGAGGAAGCACAGGCAAGAAGGACTGAAGTGATTTCTGCTTTTTTTTGGTGAACTGTCAGAAGAAGGGTCCACCAAAAGTGAATCCACTTTTCAGGCTGAGCTAGATACACTTGTGCAAAGTAACACTGTTTAACAAGTCTGTTTATGAAACTTGGCTGCAGGCCACAGTACTGACAGTGGCCTTCTCAGCTGTGAACCAAGCATTCTGCCAGTGAAGTCACCCTCATGTGCTTATTTACAGTGTCAGCTTCCAGGAGGACTACATTTTAAACTCAAGTTTGTGTAAAAGGTGAAAGCTCATTAATTGCTGAATATATTCTAGAAATGGCCTTGCTGTTAGGAGCTGATAGTCTTTAAATTAACATGTATAAACTCCATGGTATTCCTTTTACTTTTTAATAAGGTAAAATGTTGTCAAAGAAATGCACACTGAAGGGGCTGATTTTCATTCTTACTTAGGGCCGTTTACAGCATTCAAGCAAGGGAAAGAGTTCTCTGAGCGCATGTAAATTATACTCATGCTTATTTAAAGCCTGTGTAAATGCAAATCACACCCTATACATTAAAGTAGCAGCATTAAAATTATATTTTCATTCATATGACTGCTTTTATTGGCATGTGTCTTCACACTCAGGCACAGTTAGGTGCTTCGTTTGAATGATGATGAAATACAGTGCTTGTTCTCTGATTGCATCCCATCTTTTCCTTCCAGCGCATGATTGCCAACACTGTCAGGACAGTGAAATTCTGCCGGAGCCAATCTTTCAGTAAGTGTATCACAACATCTGTACCGTCGGCATTATCATCAGTAGCTACAGTAATTACAACTAATTCTGTGTGTACCAGAACTGAAGAGCCTGCTTTCCAGTGATTTTTCCATGTTTGGATCCTGTGATGTTTCACAGGGTGAAATATCCTTCAGGAAGCTCTAATAAACCCCTTCTCCTCTATCTCTTTTCTGTGCATGTGAAAGAGGTAAATGTCTGTGAGGTCTCTACCCATCTGTGAGATTAGAACCAGTTGAAATTAGACACTGGATTCAGAAGTGGTTGAAATAAGTCTAGCAGGCAGCAGCACATAAGTATTTGCTTGGATAAATGCTGTTTTAATATGAAACCAATCTGGAGACATGGCCTTTATAAATGGCATAACTACATAAGGTGGTGAATTTAAAACCTGTTTGTCAGTATAATTACCACAACTTCATTGAGGCCATGTAAGGTGACAGAGCTGTATGGTCAAACAGGCTTCTCTGTGGGTCTCGTCCCATCAAGCTGCACTGTCAGTCTCAGTCACGTGGGCATTTCCTCAGCACTTCATCCATTTTGACTCACAGTACACTTCCTCTTTCTCAAACAACAGAATAAATAATATAAAACTATATTTTTATAAAAATAGTTTGTTTCCATATAAGTCAAAGCTAAACTGTAGAAGATCTATAGAAATTTCTGTAGAACTATAGAAATTAAGAGAGATTTTTTTTTTCATCCACAATCCAGGTTTTTCTGGCTTTCTGTCTTTAATTTTGATGTATTAAGGATGGGTGAGACCTCCACATACTTAAAAATGGAAGCAGATTTTCATTATACATGCTATAGCAAAATGTCAGTATATAGATCTACTGGACCTAAATTCCATGGTTTTTGTGTGTGTGTATATGTAATGTATGTAGATGCCTCAGTATAACTTTTTAGTTGAATTTAAATTACCTAACACATGTTACATTACACTGTAAGCTGTTCCCTGTGGGGCTGAAGATACTTAGAATTTAACTCAGTAGTATTCTATAACTGCTGCTGGAGTAGGTATAATGTGGTTAAGTAATGTAAACAGGTAGTAAATCCTGAGGCTTGAATGAGACAGCCAGTAAGCACTACATTGTTACATATATTTAATACTGAGCTAGAAATGAGAATATTGCATAAAAGGAGGCTTAAATCAATTACATAATTTTGAATCTGTGAAAGTTGCTGGTTCAAAAGCAAATGAGCAGCTTTAAATTGTACTTGTTAGCTGTATAATGTATAGCTAATGACTGATAAGGTGATGTGTAAAACTGTAACCAAGGGCCATCAATTTTAGTAAATGTAGCCAAGGATGTCCAAAAGAAAAGTTAATTTGTGGGGGTAGTAACCAGAAAGACCATCAGATACGGAGAAAAGGTTTCAAAGAGAGAAATTTCTAAATATTTCCTTTTTAACTCACCAGGATCTAGTCTTTCCTGTGACAGCTTGTAAGGAGTTGTGCATTTTGTTCCGGCATTTGTCCATTTACGTGTATCAATCCTACATCATTTCTCTTTCACCAGATCCTGATGCAGCCCTAACTAATAAAAACCATCAGGATGTTCGGAGCTACGTGCGGCAATTAAATGTGATTGACAACCAGAGAACTTTATCACAGATGTCTCACCGACTGGAACCGCGCCGAGCATAAACATTTGAAGCAGTGATGAGAAACGATCTTTTATCCTCTCAAGGTCACTTGTTAAGAACTTCACTTTCTCTGCTACTGCACTGCCACTACAAAAATAAGCAAAAACATACCATAAGGTCTTAGGCAACACACAATGTACCAGCCTGCTGGAGAACTTTGGCTGTGGAAGAATTTGTGCACTGTAGGTGTATGGGTGGCCATGTTGGGAACTGTTAATTCATCTTAAGGTGTAGTAAGTGATATCTCATACAGATTTTAAAAAAGGCAAAAGATAGAATAGTTAGTGGGAAATGCACAAAAACTTATAACAGTTCTAAGGTAGGTAGTGGGTTCTTCTCCCTAATTAAACATCTGTATTTTACAATTTATGCTTCAGGTCAGGACCAAAACTGATCATCAGTTTAGCTTGCTCAGCTACTCTTGACCTCCATAGAAGAGGAGGATCTGATGAAATAATGTAGGTTCAAGAGCGGTCCAAGGTATAGTTCCATTCAGAGACGACTTACAAATATTTCCATTTTAAATACAACAAATACTAAGAAAAATTCCCAGTCTTAATCATACTGTCTACTACTACAAGCAGCGTGGCCATTTCAGAAAACTGACAGGACTAAAAACATTTTTAATGATAAATAGATTAATCAGTGTTTACATTTTACTTACTTCTTTTTAAATTACCAATCAGGTTTTTACAAAATTCAGTTAAAAAGAAAGGTTGTCAAAATCAATAGCATTAAAGGTAGCAAAAGACTGGTTCAAAAAGAGCACAATATGCACAAATGGATTGCAAGAGAATATTTTCCTGGACATTAAAACCTTAAACTTCAGCTAGAATTAGTCATGGCTGGTTAACACATTTCTGGTCTTACACATTTAAAAAAATCTTAATTTTCAGCCAATTGTTTGCACTTTCAATAGACTGTAAATAAATGTCAATTTATTATGTTCTAGAATATTTATTTATGTAATAGTTATTGTGCCAAAATAATTCTGGTTTATTTATTTTGTTTAGCATGTTATGAGAGTACAGCTTTTGTCTTCACACTCTGTGCATTTACATGTAGAAGTTGTGTGATCTATCTTTTCTGTAAATAACACGCAGTACCTTATTAAATGTAATTGCTGGAAAGGTTTAGTCACTGGCCTTATTTGCACTTTCAGCTTCGTTCCTGCATAAATAGCAATGCTACTAATTGGCTGATATATCAAACTTGGCTTGTCATTTGCTGGGCCTCAAACCCGCCGTTGGCCTTCGTGCACTGAGAGATGGACGATGAGATTAAAGCCAGTCAGATCCATCCCTGCCACGGGGGATGACAGTCAGGCAGTGACGCAACACCACGGTCTCGTTAGCTCACTTGTTTCTCAGGAGAAAACATTTAAATTGGAAGGCTTTAAATAAAGAAGGGATATATTCTTAATTTTAGCTATCTAACTAATTTGTGCTGCTCAGTCACTAATGTGAGCGCTACAAGTTATCTTGGGCAGGATTTTACCTCAGGTTGGCAAGCTCAAGACCTTGGCTGATACGGCACTTGAGAGACCTCTGGGTTCGATGGCCACGGGGAGGTCTCTCAGGGCCTGCAGCCATGAGGGGGGAAGTGGCTGGCATGTGCCCTTTCCCTCCTGAATGCTCCTGGGGATGGCTGTACTACTGCTGGGCAAGCCCAGATGGCAGCCAAGCGCATGCCAAGGGAATGACGATGTTCAAATGGCAAAAGTCTTTCCTATTGCATTCACACTGGTTCTGCACTGTGAAGCTGGATGTCATAAAACTGATTAAGCCTTGAAATTAGAAGTTACAACTGTTATCTCATAATTAAGCTTCAGAGATGACCTCATTGATATAGTCTACATTTTGCTTTGGATGCAGAGCATATATTTTTGGCATTAAGCAGGACTGTGTGGAATCAGTATACACATACAGATTTTTTTATCTATAAAAATAATTACATTCTTTTAATCAAAACATAAATTCTGCAAAAGTTGAGAGTCACAGGGGAAATGCTGACACAGAACCACAATCTGCTTGGTACCTGCATTCTGCAAAGGAAAGAATTACACAGTTAAGAAATATTCTGCAGCATGATGAAATAATTTATTTTAACTTTGCTGTCTGACTAGAAGTTCAAGATGATTCAAAGGAAAACCAGCTAATAATATAGAGACAAATTTGTGTCTTATCATTTCAAGTGAAAAATATTTATTTCCACTTGTGCTGTTTGAGGAATATACTTCATATGGCTTGTTCACATACAGAATCTTCCCAGAAGCAGTGTGCAGTAGAATGAACTACAGGGACACAATTAATTCAACAGGCATTTTTATCTTTGCAATCAATTGGTAACATTTCTGAGTTCATGATTTTATTTGTTCCAGGTTAGTTTCTGTTGTTTGGACTTTCAATTATTTCTGTGCTAGCTGGTTTATGAACTGCCAAGTTTTGGCTTGGCTCTGCATATAGACCAACTCTTCATCCATTTAGTATGTTTTTATCCCCTTGGTTTATTCTTCTTTTATTTAGAACTTTTAACTGTTTTACTTATTTGTTGCAAACAGTCTCTATCATGTAGTTGTATCCCAGTGAGAGAAAGAGAGGTTTCATGGCACCTCCATGTCAACAAATGAATGCAGTTTACCTACTCAATGAAACAGGTATCTGACATTTTTTAATTTTCCAATAAAGGGTGCTGTATAAATAACAAGTGTTGCTATCTCTCTATCTAACTGATTCAAGTGGCTCAGATAGTTGCTATAGTTCTAATCACTGCCTAAATACTTAGAGATTAGATGAATAAAACTACCTTCTGGCTCTAGGATCTGTCCTGGGCTTGCCTCGCTCCCTGTGTTGACTTTACAACAGGAAGGCAGCTGTCAATATAATATTGCTCTAGCTGTAGGAAGTCTAAGTGAATGTTGCACTAGAGTGGAGAACGAATAGGAACTCAAGAAACACTGAAATGTCAAATCATCCATCCTGACTTCAGCCTGTGCTCACAGCTGCGAGTCACAGCTTGTTCCTGCTTCGCTGAGGGCACCGCCTTGCTGCTGACTCTCAGACAGGTCTGCAGGCCTGGCTGCAGGGAGTTGGGCAATCCCCAGCACCGCTCTGCTCATGGTCCACCCTGTTTTAGGTGCAGCACTTGGTCTGGTTTTGGCCTATGCCAGATACCTCTGCAGGAGACTGTCCAGGCATTACTTATGGGGGATCATGCAGCAAGGCCATTTCCAGGGGAAACTACAGAGCTGTCTGTCCTGTCTCCCTCCGCCCCCACAGTCCTTCAGTGGGATCCGAGGTGCTCTGCACCTCCATCACACCCACTTGGATAAACACTACAGCACAGCCCCCTCTTCACTGCAACACTGCAGGCTGAACAAACATAAACTTGTTCTAAATCCTAATCAGGATGATTATGCCTGAGGGTCACAGGCCATACAGTGCTGATATGGCTGGTCCCTGCTGCTTGGCCTCACGGCCCAGAGCTCCTGGTCCTGTTTTATTTACTGGCAGAGTCATAACCATAGGATGAGTCTTCAGATGAGATATGACCAGGAGGCAATGTCCATAATAAATACCCCTGCTGGGGACCACTGAGCCAGGATGGTGACACCTTGGGCATTTTGGAAAATGTTCTGCATTACAGGGTTCCACCACTGGTCTGCTTTTGCTCAGGCAGCAGTAGAGAGCACAAATGCCTCTGTTTAGGGCTGCAGAGCCTAAAGAGTCACAGGGTACAGATCTCCCTACCCTGGCACATCTCACTATTGTTAATTTGTTAGGATTTCTTCTTTTTCTCAATGACCAGGCTCAGTGGTGACAAACACAGGGAAGAAAGGTTAAATCCAGGGAAGCTGGAATCCTGTACACCAGGTGGCTACAACTGTTTGGTAAAGGCAGGATTCAAAATATTTTCCACGGACATCTTGTTCAAACCCAGTCAGCCACAAAGATACAATAGTGACAGATAAAAGAATTCAAATCTATTTGCAGGACTCTGCAAATGGAGGGTTTGAGTTCTTTCTTCCTAGGTAAAATATTGTAAGGGCACACAGTCTCTTCAGACCAGGTACAAAGAGAGACAGAAACAAAATTCTTCTTTTCAGAGACATGGGCAAAGCAACCTTTTAAGTACAAGAAGTTTAAATATAATTTAGAAATCTTACAAAATAAGTTAGAGTGAAATCAAAAGATTTAACCTTCAGGGGTACAAAAAGAGATAATGAATTTTGCTTAGGAAAAAAAATTAACAAAATTATAAATCTAAATTGTTAACACAGCTTCTTAGTAAGGTCAACTGCATAATACAGAGCACCTTAACCTCTTCCAGCAATTTTTAAACACCATGCAGCTTAAATAGACTACTTCTGAATTCAGCAGTATTTCTTCTGGGAGCTCTGAATGCAAATCAAGAGGTAATAGTAGAAGGAAATTAAAAGATGTGCCATTCTCATTTCATTTTTTGTACTGATAATAAGGAAAGCAGCATAGAGTGATATGGCAAAGTGAACCTCTAACTTCAATAGCTTTTCTTTCACTGTTAATCTGAAATGCATTACACTCTGCCTTTTCAAATAATCATAATGTTCTTTACTGTAGCCTGCATTAAAGTTTAGCAGGCATAAGCAGCAGCTGTCACCAGAGGTCAAGGTATTAGCAATCAAAGAAAATAATGACCAGATTAAAAAGTTATCATTAAAATTGCGAAACCAGGAACTTCTTTAGCAGCTTATCTTGGAGCCCTGAGTCCAGAGCTGCAGCTGTGCCCATGGAACCCCTGGCACCCCCAGATGTCTCCCCATTACAATGTGGTGGGGCTGGGCGGTCCTGGGCTGGAGGGGACCTTCACCTTTCTACCTCCTCTCTTGGAAAGGTGCAGCACTGCCCCAAACTAATTCCCACAGGACAGAGAGCTCTCTGATGTGCCTGGTGGCTAAAACATGACGTCAAGCTTCTCGCTGTGGTCAGTGTTAGAGGAGCACGCAGGGTAAGGCGCTGCATGCTTGTACCTCATGCTGTCCAACAGCACAGAGAGTGGCTCCAACCCCACCTGCCCTGTGCACTGCTTTAGCAATTACAGCCCTCAGACATCTAGCTAAGGCAGCAACTTGCAAATCCACAAAGGAGCATAATCCAACTATGGTCTTAGTGGTTTATGACTCGAGTGATGGGGGGACTGCTGTAGAAGGGGAAATTCTTAAAAGGGAAAAAAGAGAATGTACAGCTACAAAATCTATCACATCTAACTGCTGAAGGGTGTTTCACAAAGGGTTGCTTTTTAATAGGCCTGGCACTCAAAGGTAATTTGTGAATACAAAATAAACTCAGAAACTGACATGATAATGCATAAAGAACGAATAATTACTGACGCAAATTGGAATATTTTTCTTGGAAACTCCATGTAATAAAAATGTGACACATGGGGGTACTGGTAAGAGCTTGACCTTTATTTCCTGGCCCTAATCCATTTGGGTCAGAGTGACAAAAAGCAAACCCTTTCTCACATGGTAGGGGTCAGCCAGTTGTGTTTAATTTTTTTCCTCTTTTTGCTTTCAAATGCAAATAAAGCACATTACCAATGAAAATAATGATTGTAAATGAATACCTCAATTAAAGGAAATTTACATAAAGATACGTAGGATAATGGTAGCAGTAGATATTCCAACATCCTAACAGACAATAATCCATTTCTTAATCAACTTCTGTCAATAATCATAAGCTTTCTGCTCTCCATGGTTTCCTCATTATAACACCACCTCTTGTGTTTTTAAATAGTTCTTTCTTCAGATGCTGTCCGAGCCAGCAAGTGAACCTGCTATCTGTATTTGCCGACTCTTTGTGTTTTTTCACAGGTGTACATTATTTCTGCACAGGACTACTGTCGGCAGCATTGTGGATGTTCTCAGATAACAGAGAGACAGTTTTGCCTTGGGTTTTCTTTAGATGTCCTCATTCTCTGTAGGACTGACCCTTGAGGGCTGCAGCACTGGCAGGTTGCTGTCTAGTGTCTGTTTGAAATACAGCATTTCCTTCCATTTGTAATTCCTGCCCTAGTGTTTCTCCTGTTCCTCTTGTCTGGCATATAACTCCTTTGTGGTGCTCCTCATCAGTTAGCACTGTTGCCAAA